TTCGCCTCCAATCGCTCCATTTGATGGAATTGCTTAAAGTCACTTATGATTTCAGCAATTCAATCAAAATGGAGCTCGGGACGGATAAGTGTGCGGTCCTTCATGTCGAAAGGGGTAAGGTCACTAATACGGAGGGCATAGACTTATCTATGCCCGTTAACATAAGGACCCTCTCTGAGGCTGAAACATACCGATACCTGGGTATGTCACAAAACATGTGTATCGATGAGGCTGGCATGAAAAAGTCAGTTCGTGATGTGTTTTTTGCACGCCTGACAAAGGTGTTTAACAGCCATTTGTCAGGCGTGAACAAGGCACGCGCATTTAACGGCTGGGTCATGCCAGTCCTCATGTATACCTTTGGCATGCTCAGGTGGACTCAAACTGAGCTCAATGCCCTGGACCGAAAAGTCCGCACAACTATGACATCCCACAGGATGCATCATCCGAGATCGTCAGTGATGAGGCTGTACCTGCCGCGGAAGCATGGCGGGAGGGGCTTTTTGAGCGCCCTTACCATGCACAATCGCGAGGTGTACAGCCTCCGCAACTACTTCCTGGCAAGATCGGATGAGTCAATCTACACGGACGTCATTAGTTGTGATAAAGGACTTACCCCTCTGTCCTTAGCCAACGAGCAATGGCAGGACCCGGGAGTACTGAGCGTTTCCGACCGGGAGGCCGTATGGAAGGAGAAAGAGCTCCACGGGAGGTTCTACAAGGCCCTACACGAGCCTTTCGTAGATACTACTGCCTCCCTCAATTGGCTACGTTTCGGTGACCTCTTTGGGGGAAACCGAAGGTTTTGTCTGTGCGATACAGGATCAGGTCATTAAGACGAACAACTATCGGAAATACATCCTAAAGGATGGCACCGTCGACATCTGTCGAGCTTGTCGCCATCCCGGGGAGTCGCTTCGGCATGTTATTTCCGGTTGTTCCATGCTTTCTAACTCTGAGTATCTGCATAGACACAACCTAGTAGCCAGAATCCTACACCAGGAGCTCGCTCTGAAATACGGCCTCGTGGATCGGAAACTACCGTACTATAAGTACTCTCCGGAGGCCGTGCTCGAAAATGACCGCGCCAGGCTCTATTGGGACCGGCCCGTCATCACGGACAGGACGATTGTCGCGAACAAACCTGACATCGTGGTGATGGACCGGGCACAGTCGCGGGTATTTTTGGTCGACATTACCATTCCATATGACGAGAACCTCGTGAAAGCCGAAACAGATAAGAAGACAAAGTATCTGGACCTGGCTCACGAGGTGACCGACATGTGGGGTGGTGTGCCGGCCGAAATTATCCCGATAGTCGTGTCTGCGAATGGGTTAATCCCAGTCAGCCTCTCCAAACATCTGAAGCGACTGGGACTCCGGGACGGATCGCTCCAAGCTCAAATGCAGAAAGCGGTGCTCCTCGATACCGCCCGCATCGTCCGCCGGTTTTTTCTCTCCCTATCGCTAACCCTCGGCCGTTTGGTCTCCCCTGCCGAGGGCTTCCGTCTGGTTGGGTCCTATTTAAATATGTATTATATAAAATATTTTTATAAGTATGTTTATTTTTATCCATAATATTTATTTTATATATGCAATATGTATCTATTTTTTTATTTATAAACCCAACCAGACGAGGAAACAAATGAATATCAATATCCATTATAATAATAATAAAATATCTTTATTCACATAGACGCTTGCGCGTTCTTATGAAACGTCAAAATTTTACAAGAAATTAACACGTTTATAAGTTACCACCGGTTCGGAAAGCAGTTTCTGTTGAGAAGAAACCGGCAAGAAACTCAACAGTTGCTCTTTTTTAAAAAATCAGTTTACAATATAATAGTACAGGTACAATAGTCTTGTTTTAGCCTACGTGAGTATCAACAGTATTAACCCCACACATTGGCGTTGTCAAGATATTCGGCAATAGTATATGGCTTTAGCCATAAGTGCACTTTTAAGTTTTCGTTTAAATTCATCAAGTGGCAGACTTAACATAGACTGTGGGATTTTATTATACATGCGCACACTTTGCCCCATGAACGATCTGTTTACTTTTTGTAGGCGAAATAATGGCGTAGTTAGTTTGTCCTTATTTCTAGTATTTAGTTTATGTCTGTCACTATTCTTTTGATAATTATTAATATTCTGTTTAACATACAAAATATTACAATAAATATATTGAGACGCAACAGTGAGTATATTAATCTCTTTAAAAAGATCTCTGAGTGTATTCCGGGCTCCGATGTTATAAATTGCTCGGACAGCTCTTTTTTTGAATAATAAATATTGAATTTATATCAGATGCACTACCCTACAACAAAATGCCGTACGACAAGATGCTGTGAAAATAACTGTAGTAAACAAGTCTGGCAGTGTCGATGTCTGATAGCTGCCTAACCTTCCTAATTGCAAAAACAGCGGAGCTTAACCTATTCGCAAGAGATGATAGATGGGGACTCCATTGGAGCTTTGAATCTACTGTGATTCCCAAGAATACAGCGGACTCAACAGGATTAAGGGTTACGCTATTCAATTTTAAGCTAAAACTTTGCCTTCTTACGTTGGGAAGGGCAAAAAGAAGGCATTTAGTTAGGCTAATTTAAGAAAACAAGAATTTTTTATTCGTTATTTCGTAGGTTAGTCTGCTTAGCCGGTGTTAACAGTTTATTACTAGGAAGTTTTCGGGAAACTATGGGAGAAAAAATACAAATATCGTAACATGCAACATTTTATTTAAAAATTTATTTGATCAGTAAATGATAATTTACCCACACAAAATAAATAAAAAGTGAAAATTTAAATTTCATCTTTATAACAAATTTAACTACGATGTAAACATACGAGAATAAAATATTATTCTATGGGATATATCAAATATATAAAACCTTAAAAGTAGATTTTTCTTGAAAAAATAATCGATAATCGTTCATTAACCGTGCTGCTCACAAAAGCGAGGCCCGCAGAATTTTTGACTCGGTTTGAGATATTATTTTAAAGGTATCTTTGAAACATAAACTAATAGCATATATAGATAGTTCGTGTCATATTATGTATTAGCATGTGGAGGGTGGTTGAGAAATAGTTATTGAATCAGCCTTAATGCAACGTTCGTCTTTGACTCACCTTCCCTGTGCCCCTACTACATTTATAACAAGTCGCATGTTTAGATAAATATTTATAGAAAAATAATGTGTAATGATATATAAAAATGAACATTATTTGTGCATTGTGCGTATTCATTACAATTTTACAATAAATTCTCCTGTATCCTCATTTCAGAAGATAGTCAAAGAGAACCTTTTTGGCTTGTCTCACAATACAGTTTTTTATATCACAAAACTTTCAAACTATGTTATAGACATAATTTAATGAAAGTCTTGAAAAGGAAAGTTTTAACGGGAGCAACTGTCAGCCGGAACACACGACTATTCAAAATTTGATGTCTCAGTTTACGACATGCTTATGGATTATTAATTAAAAATGTTCTAAAAACATTCAATTGTCGAAAAATTAACATACCACTCTCCCGGTAGAGGCTAATACCTGGATGTCTACTAGCCTTTAAAACTTCTTAAGCATGACCCGTATCTCCTTTCTTCTCTCTGTCTAAATTAATTATGGCAAATTTGGACACTACATTTATCCAGATAGAGATGTAATAGGAAATGAGAGAATGAACGCTGAATCTTATTGTTTTCTCATTATTTTTATGGCCTTTCGTACTCGCCCAACGAAACATCCGATATGTGATTTGAACTTCAGGTTATGGTCGGCGGGTAGGTACAGGTACTTCTTCTCTCTCTGGTTTCTACTCTCTCTTCCTCACTCTCTAAATTGATCATGGCACATTTGGACATTAATTTTCCCAGACAGACATGTAATACATGAGGGACATGTGAGAATGTATTCGATTTGTGTTTTGTTCGAAGTGTTGGAAGCGTAAGTTCAGGGTTTTACACCATTGAAATTTTGATTCCAAATGCAAAATAAACTTCATGTGGAAAAAGCGAAAAATGGATTGTTAATGAAAACGTATCAACTAAAATGTAATCAGTTTACGTAAAAAAGAAACTAATTGAAGTATTGTGGAGTCAATATAGTAAAGAAATGAAGGCGTTCGTTAGTCCCTCAACGTATCTACTGAATATTAAAAAACGTACCAATCGTAAAGCTTCATTATACAAGGATCTGATAATACAAGTCTTAATTTTTAAATCGATATTTATTTATTGTCGAATTTCAGCACAAAGGTAATATGTTGAAAATGTTTCTAATATAACAACGGACCACCATTACAATCGCAACCACATTTTCCGAAGATCGAAACCACTCCACCCGCTGGGACCTCTCCCGCGAACTGAACAGCTCCCAAAATGGGAACTTGTCCGGCTACCAGAGTAGTACCGACCACCGGCAGCTCGCCGGCCACGTCCAGGTCACCCGTACCAGTGCCTCCATATGCCCCAGCCACTTCGGCACCGTTCCAACCATAACCGGAGCTCCCCAGGTTGTACCCCAACCCGTGTCCACACCCAGCATTATTGGCCGCAGAACTTAGCGACCAACCGGCGTTACACTGGCCGAACACACTCTGTTGATAAAATTGTTTGATATTATTAATCACAAAATAGGTTAATTCTAAATACAATAGTAACGAAATGCCATCTATTTTACCTGCATGAAGCATGCTTGAAAACACACCAAGATAGAAACGAATGTGAAGGTACTCATGTCTGCTTTTCACCCGAATGATTTACAATACTAATGTTATTTTGTGTATTGCTTTTATACTCCACTCATCATGTGCGTAATTCGCTATCATCACGTGCACAGGCTGCATGCGAAAAATTACAAGTTTATTTTGATGCAACATTGGTATCGCCCGCTTAAGTGTTAATACAAGGAAGTGTTGCAATTCTTTCGACTCCTGTGTATAAAAGGAGAATAAAATACTTCGGTCAACAATAAGTGAATTGGAAGAACATTCGAAAATGGCCGTACCCGTTTTCTTTTTGTGCAGCGCTGTCGCCATTTTGGTTCAGGTACCTACTTAACATGAAAGCTATTTTCAGTATAAGAGATACAACATTTTAAATAAACGATTGTACCATTTCTTCTGTTACAGAATGCGAACGGTGAATGCCTCCTCCGCAATTCATACAACGTGGCGTCACGCGGGTGTGGCTCGGCTTACAACGAATATTCGCTGCCGTCGTCATGGTTAAGCGGCGCGTGTGGTGCTGGCTTCGAGTCCGGGGTGGTTGCTGCCTCCGACGGTGGAGGCTTCGCGGTGAAGAGCGCCTCGCCTGTACCGCCTAGCGGGGTGTCGGTGTTGTCGGAGAACGAGTATTCCGGTGCCCTGTCCGTAGTGGGCCAGGTGCCCTTCCTGGGCACAGCGTACTTGGAGGGCGCGGTGCCGTCCGCAGGCGCCGGGGCCGTTACCTACGGCTGCGGCTACGGCGACGTGCGCATCGTCAGCGAGGAGGGCGCCGCCCCTGGCGTGGGCTTGGCTCGCCTCCCTGGCGCAGTCGCCCCATGGGCCACTGCTGACATCGGTTACAATAACGGGTGGGGCACCTGTGGCTGCGGCCGAGGGATTTTGTCTTATTAATGTATTGAAATGAATTAACCAAATGATTGTTAATCTAAGAACACATTCGTATACTGACTTCAATTACATATTTTCAATTTCAATATTTTATTTTCTTTTCTTCCATGAATTACAGTCAAATTATTTCGCAATACTAATAAGGTTTTCATTAAATGCATCTAGTATCAGTTAATTGGTTCTATGCTCGTACCGAGTTTTAACTTTCCAAATGATTAATAGGTATAACATAAGGGAAATACATCTATACATACAAGCAGTTTGTAAAGTCTATATAGTCCAATGGCAATTAGAATATATTGGAATAACTTTTCCTTTGATTATATACTTATCTCATTTAAGAAAAGAAGAATTTTTATTCGTTACTAGCTGACTCGACAAACGTTGTTTTGCCATATAAGTTATTTCTAGAGGAATTGTTACGCAAGCAAAAAGTGTTTGACAAGTTACACAGACAGTTGACAGGTTGACAGGAACAGTTTGTATGGGAAAATAAAATTAGTGCTATTTTGATTTTCCATACAATTTTCTAAAATTACTCATCGTTTAAACCCTCCCTGGACTGCCACAAATATTTGAAATCATCGGCAATCTTGCGTTTCTGTATATTCCTTTAGTTCCGCTAGATTTCGTAGCAAAAACTAACGGCGCTGTCGTCATTATTCTAACCTTTCATTGCTAGCCGTATGTGACGTCCAGCGATAGATCGAAATGCGACGTTGCGACATCGTGCACACCACTTGAATTTATAGGATTTTGTTAATTGTTTATTATATTCGCGATTCGTGAATATACACACTTTTCACAAGCTTTCACTTGATATGTGATATTGCATCCGCCTTTTTAAGCGAAATGGATTGTTTTCATTTTGGGTAGATGCTATTTTATAATATGAATTCAAGTAATGGGAGGTAAAAACGGACTTAACCGAATTCGAAAAAAGAAGTAGGCTCAAATCTTCTGTCCTTTATATTTAAGCCTGACTGGTTTTGTTTCTACTTTTTAACATACCTACCTTAATTTATTTATCATATTATGTTAAGTACAATAATTATTTCATTGCCAAATATCAAAAGTCATTATGCCTCGACATAGAAGAATACATAAAAATGATTGTTAGGACTAGAAACATACTTAGTTAAGTATTATTTCGAATATAAAATAGTAAATAATATAAAGCGAAATAATTAAGTGAAATTTATTTATTATGAAGAATGTAAAGGAAAAAACTTATAATTACACATTTAAACTATATTTTTTTTTACTTGAGAAAGTGGCAAACGAGTTGCGGTCCACCTGATGTTAAGTGATAACCGCCGGCCATGGAAATATGCAACACCCGTGGGGTTGCAAATGCGTTGCCTTACTACTACTACCTTTAAATAAAGTGGGCCCCGGCTACTTCACTCACCGGACGAAACGCAGAAGTGTAACACTTCTACTTTACGTCGGTCTTCTGTGAGGTCGTGGTACTTACCCGGACGGACCTGCCCAATCGTGCAACAGTGAACGCTGTTGCATGGTCCTACCACAGTTAAATTTAAAATCATCAACGCAAAAAAGTGACGACTACTTTTCACAACCTGGGAGTTCCAAGGAGCTCTGCGCATTTTTGGGACTTTTGTTTAATTTTTAACAGACACGCTAACTTCCTTTCAATTTCTTTAAGTCAAGATAAAGGCCGTGATAGCTCGGTGTCCTTATACCTACCTATATCCGGTGTCCTTATATATACCTTTAATTCAATGTACTCGAACAACTTCTAGTTTGATACCCGGAACCATGAAATTGTTAATTTTAAGTGCTGAATTATCACGTGCTCAGCGACGAGGGAAATCGTGAGAAAACCTGCATATTTTGAAAATACTAACAAAAAAATATTTTCGAAGATATGTGATGTCCACCAATCCGCGATGGCGCCTGGTGCACTATGCCCTGATACCCACAGTACAGTGAAGGCCTTTGTCCAGCAGTGGGATATGTATGGGCTGATATTTTACTTTTTTACTTTACAAGATAGAGGTCAAGACAGAGGATCAAGTAGATAGCTACCGCATATTCTTCTGGAATCTAAAAAAATCATGTCTATTGTATGGGGCTCCCACTTAACATTTTTTATTTTGTTTTTTAGTATTTGTTGAGCGGCAACAGAAAAACATAATCTGTGAAAATTTCAACTGTCTATTACGATAGGGATGCGGAAAAATATGGATATATCGATATTTTCTTAAAAATATATCGATATATTTTGATCCGATATATCGATATTAAAAATTGAATATCGCGATTATGATTGCGATATTCAATTTTTTAGCTTAGTGGTTAAAACGTCTTGACGGAAGAAATCCGGGAGACGTGGCTTCGATTCCCGCAGTGGCGAAAATCTTTCCGTACTTTTTTAATTACTGTTTATTTTCACGATCGACCGTGGCATATTGTTGCTCATATGAATGAAACCGATTTTTTTTTTATTTTCTTGGATTTCCTAAGTTTTGTTGCCTCCATTGCAAACATTATATTTATGATCATTATTATAAAGATGAATCCGATTGTTGTTGTTAATTTTACACTAAAGTTAATACGTTAAATGGGTCAAATTATATAAAAAAATGATTATGTAATTTTTTAATATGAAATTAAAATGTTATATTTGAATCCACGATTTTATTAATTTTACATTTTTTTCTGTTTATTGTTTAGCAGGCATTAAACTAAGACATATAATGGTTATACACATATACGGACGTTACAATGTCTTAAAAGTTTTACAACATTTGTCATTTGACGTCCAGGATGTCAAATGAATAATAGTTTGAAACTTTTACGAAATTGCAACGTCCGTAACTCAGTTTACGACATGCTTATAGATTATTAATTAAAATGTTCTAAAAACAATCAATTGGTGAAAAATTTACATATCACTCTCCCGATATCTACAAGCCTGTAAGACTTCTTAATCATGACACAGTATACTTTCTGCTCTCTTTCTCTCTAAATTGATCGTGACACATTTGGACATTTCATTTTCCCAGACAGATACGTAATAGGACATGAGAGAATGTGTTCGATTCGTGCGTAAGTTCAGGGTTTTACACCATTCAAATTTTGATTCCAGATGCATAATATACTTCATGTGCAAAAAGCGAAAAAATAGATTGTTAATGAAAAGGTATCCACGAAAATGTAACAAGTTTATGTAAAAAAAAAAACTGAAGTATGGTGAAGTCAATATAGTAAAGATGTGAAGGCGTTCGTTAGTCCCTCAACGTATCTACTGAATATTAAAAAATGTACCAATCGTTAAGCTTCATTATACAAGGATCTGATAATAAAAGTCTTAATTTTTAAATCGATATTTATTTATTGTCGAATTTCAGCACAAAGGTAATATGATGAAAATGTTTCTAATATAACAACGGACCACCATTACAATCGCAACCACATTTTCCGAAGATGGAAACCACTCCACCCGCTGGGACCTCTCCCGCGAACTGAACAGCTCCCAAAATGGGAACTTGTCCGGCTACCAGAGTAGTACCGACCACCGGCAGCTCGCCGGCCACGTCCAGGTCACCCGTACCAGTGCCTCCATATGCCCCAGCCACTTCGGCACCGTTCCAACCATAACCGGAGCTCCCCAGGTTGTACCCCAACCCGTGTCCACACCCAGCATTATTGGCCGCAGAACTTAGCGACCAACCGGCGTTACACTGGCCGAACACACTCTGTTGATAAAATTGTTTGATATTATTAATCACAAAATAGGTTAATTCTAAATACAATAGTAACGAAATGCCATCTATTTTACCTGCATGAAGCATGCTTGAAAACACACCAAGATAGAAACGAATGTGAAGGTACTCATGTCTGCTTTTCACCCGAATGATTTACAATACTAATGTTATTTTGTGTATTGCTTTTATACTCCACTCATCATGTGCGTAATTCGCTATCATCACGTGCACAGGCTGCATGCGAAAAATTACAAGTTTATTTTGATGCAACATTGGTATCGCCCGCTTAAGTGTTAATACAAGGAAGTGTTGCAATTCTTTCGACTCCTGTGTATAAAAGGAGAATAAAATACTTCGGTCAACAATAAGTGAATTGGAAGAACATTCGAAAATGGCCGTACCCGTTTTCTTTTTGTGCAGCGCTGTCGCCATTTTGGTTCAGGTACCTACTTAACATGAAAGCTATTTTCAGTATAAGAGATACAACATTTTAAATAAACGATTGTACCATTTCTTCTGTTACAGAATGCGAACGGTGAATGCCTCCTCCGCAATTCATACAACGTGGCGTCACGCGGGTGTGGCTCGGCTTACAACGAATATTCGCTGCCGTCGTCATGGTTAAGTGGCGCGTGTGGTGCTGGCTTCGAGTCCGGGGTGGTTGCTGCCTCCGACGGTGGAGGCTTCGCGGTGAAGAGCGCCTCGCCTGTACCGCCTAGCGGGGTGTCGGTGTTGTCGGAGAACGAGTATTCCGGTGCCCTGTCCGTAGTGGGCCAGGTGCCCTTCCTGGGCACAGCGTACTTGGAGGGCGCGGTGCCGTCCGCAGGCGCCGGGGCCGTTACCTACGGCTGCGGCTACGGCGACGTGCGCATCGTCAGCGAGGAGGGCGCCGCCCCTGGCGTGGGCTTGGCTCGCCTCCCTGGCGCAGTCGCCCCATGGGCCACTGCTGACATCGGTTACAATAACGGGTGGGGCACCTGTGGCTGCGGCCGAGGGATTTAGTCTTATTAATGTATTGAAATGAATTAACCAAATGATTGTTAATCTAAGAACACATTCGTATACTGACTTCAATTACATATTTTCAATTTCAATTTTTTATTTTATTTTCTTCCATGAATTCCGCTCAAATTATTTCGCAATACTAATAAGGTTTTTATTAAACATATCTATTTAACTTGTACTAGATATTCTTAAAGATCTTATTTGTTTTTTAAAATAATATAGAAAATAGTGGCTTTAGGTACCTACATCTAGATTTAAAATTCCGATTCGTAAAAGTTTAATAACTCATTCGCAAGTGGGTACCTACGAACGCAGTAAAATTCCCTATCTTGAAATTTTCTCAGGGTGCATTATTTCAAAACCTCTGGTCAAAGAAATAAATATAATAGAACTACGTAAATAGTGAACATGTAGAAATTTTATTTCTTTTATGTGAAAAATTGGAATGAGAGGTTCACCAGAAGTTAAGTGACCACCGTCGCCCATAGCAGCTAGCATTCAAAAGATTTTCCTTGGACTAATAAATCATCAATAGTTTTGGTCTCAAATAGCAAACCATTAGCTACGCTTCAATGTTATGTTATCTTTACATAACATAAAACTGTGATGAAATATTAAGACCTAAATGAAACTTCCTATTGTTTTGCTCAGCGTGAAATCAATGAACATAGAAAAGCCATTTAGCTCTGAAAGTTGTTTATAATGGTAACTATACAATGGTATTCATAGTATTCAGAACTCTCTTAAGTGAAGATTATTAACAGAAGCATTGTAATTTCATATTGTTTCTCATATTTAAAATCTATCCCAAATAAAAACTAATAAATTAAACACATACACATCCATCGAAAAGACAAATTGTTTACGATAAAAATGAAACACTCGTTTTTTAACTAACTTCATATGTATTTCCTTTATACGCAGTCAACATGTTATCTAAGGTTGATCTTGACATTTTAATCTTAATCGAAGGAGTGACCAACTTTCGACTCCTAATAAAAGTCCTTAAGTAAAAGTCGGTAAAACTGAGAAAATTTTAATTTTTTCTGCTCTATACTCTACAAAAATCTCTACCCTCTGCGAAGGAGGTATAATCCCGGGGAGAGAGAAGGGTTGGGATTACTCTGCGTCAGGCTCCCTATCCTCTGTGACTCCATGGGGCTGCACCGCTGCTGCAGTGGTGGTGGGGCCGCAAGGGAGAGGAATGTCGGAATTGTGGTACGCCGTATCCAGCGATCTGCGGAGCCACAGACCAGGTTCGTCGGTCGGGACTGGGAAGCTTGCTGCTTTGGCTCTCCTAGAGATCTCCTAGATCCTAGTGATTTTTACTGATATATGCTGATTTTATACTTAAACAATTTTGTATAGGTACTTGTATCATTAAAATAAAAGAGATAACAACACTGCAGAATTTTTAGTCAGATCTAGTTTAGTTCGTCAGGTTCACTGAACCGGTAGTAATTTTTTGATGAGAGCTGCAAATAACTCTATACTGAATAAAGAAATTTCAAGTTTTGACATTGACTTTGAAAGACGTTGCACTGCATGTTCCAGCGTGGCATACCTGAAGGAGAGGAGAGTTGATTCTCGAGCAGTTCCTACTGAGGTGGCTAGCACTAACAGAGTCGCAAAAGTGTACATAAGAGTTCCAATGGCCTTGCCGATATGCGCTCGAAAAAAATTGTCACAGATTGACAGCAGACCCACGCTCTGATGCCAAAAAAAATTAGCCACTTCGTTCAGCTGGGTCGTTCTATCAATGGAGTCAAAAACTTTCCTTTGGTTAACCACAAGTAATAACGGTGGTTCGAATGGCGGAATATACAGCCACTTCACAGCCGCCTTTGCTTCCAAATCCTAGTTGAAAGGCTGGAATTCGGTTTAAGTTTAAGTAATTTTGAAATTAAACTTTGAAAGCAATCAAGCAAAAGTTATAATCAATAGCAGTTGGACGGAAATCTTTATCTTTTTTTTGTTAAGGCACATTAGTTTTACTGTTCCAGACATTACATAAATAATAAAACTTTATAAACAAAACCAAAAAAACTAATTTTATTTTTAATTCTTGTTTTATTATTATTATTAAAATGTAATGAATACACTTTACTTTTGTTTCTAAATTGAATTATGAAATTAAAATATATTATACATATCTCTATGTTGCTCTATGTGTCTATGTCCTCTGTTATGACATTTATTTGACCAAAGAGAATATAACCACTACGTTTGTATTTGACGATTAGATGTTGCAATTGTTACACTTGTAAACTTCGTGTCAACTAATTGTGATAAAAGTTAGTTTCATCTACGTAACATAAAATTTAAAACTCATTAATTTATCTTGAGATATTTTTATTAATTAATTTATACTGTACTATCATAGCATGTTGAAAGCTGTGATATTAATTGGAGGGCCGCAAAAAGGTATATGTTAATCTTTGCCGACGTCACCGGCTTTTTTAAATAACATATTTTTAGTACATATATTTATATAAATTCATTGAATTTATTGGTTGAAGAAATTAGAAATTGATCTAGTATTAAATGTTATTTCTTTGTTATTTTATTTTATAGGCACTCGCTTTCGACCGTTGTCATTAGACACCCCTAAGCCTCTTTTTCCTATAGCCGGGCTACCATTAATCCAACATCATATAGCAGCTTGTGCTAAGTTAATAGAATGCAAGGAGATTTTAATTATTGGTTCTTATACCACTACACATATGGCACAGTTTGTGAGTGACATGCAGAAAGAATATCATGTAATTATTAGGTAAGAAATGAATATTGTTTGCCATTTCAGTATTATATGATAACATTAACATATATGGTAAAGCATATTATAGCATGTTAAAAGTAACAGCCTATACATGTCCCACTGCTGGGCAAAGGCCTCCTCTATACAGAGGGTATCAGGGCATAGTCCACCATGCGGCACCGCTGAGGATTGGTGGACTTCACATATCTTCGAAATAAATATTTTTTTGTTATTATTTCAAAAATATGCAGGTTTCCTCACGATGTTTTCCTTCACCGCGAAGCACGTGATAAGTCAGCACTTAAAGTTAAAAACTTCATTGGTGCCGCGTGCTCGAGTATATTGAATTCAAGACGAGCGCCCGGACACTGAGCTATCACAGCTCAGTGTCTGGGCGCGCTCCAGGTGCTTGCATGTTGCCAGGTGTATATTGCCTCAGATGTTACTTATTGCCATTATTATTATCATAAATTGCTATTCAACATGATTTTCACCAACTTTCAGTTTAAATGGAGAAAAAATTATACTTACAGGTATTTACAAGAATTTACACCACTGGGTACAGGCGGAGGACTCTATCACTTTAGAGATCAAGTGAGGGCAGGCAGCCCAACAGCCTTCTTTTTGCTGAATGGTGATGTGTGTGCAGATTTTCCCTTAAAGGAGTTATGGGGTTTTCATGAAGAAAGGCCTAGTGCACTGGTATGATAAAATTTGATCAACTACTTTGATATCTCAAAGGCAGCACTTAAAATTAACAATTTCATTGGTGCTGGTACCAATGAAATTGTCACTCAAATATATTGAAATAAAGGATGCAACAGACTCTGAGCTATCACAGCTATTTTGTGAATGCCTCTTAAAAACTGGTAATATTTTAGGTGACTATCATGGGCACAGAGGCGACTCGACAGCAGTCAGTTTATTATGGCTGCATGGTACGTGAGGCAACTACCAAAGCAGTGACACATTATGTAGAGAAACCTAACACATATGTATCAACATTGATCAACTGCGGTGTGTATGTGTGTTCACTTCAAGTTTTCCACACAATGGCTGAAGCATTCCAAAGAAAGCAAGATGGTTTCTACAGGTACAAGAAATTAACTCACTTGACTAATGCATATGTGATAGAGAGTAGACATTACTTAAATTTCAGTTTGCTATTTGTGATAATGAGCCAATGAGCCCGTTGACAAAATTGGCACACTAATGTAATAATCATTTAAAATGGAATTTCAACCTATTGATTAAAAATGGGAATTGATCTATGAAAAGATACTAAATTTATTTCATTTTTCTTTCAAGCACACAATGTTTTATTGGCTATATTATGTAAATCATCACTTTGTATATAATTTTTATTTGTATAATTCTCTAAATTCCAGTGCTAATGGACAAAATGGTGCACATCCGGGATATATGTCATGGGAACAGGATGTTTTGTCACCACTTGCCGGGACGAACAAGCTTTATGCAATGCAGGTATCAAACTTCTCATACATTTAAAGGCTCTCATATCCTAATTCCCTCTGTAGGTAAACCATATACCTTCTGCTACTCCCTGACCTTAAACTTACATACGCAGAACACCTAATGCTTTGCATCAGTTACAAATATTATAATACAATGATTATTGCTTACAAGAAATCTAAGAAAATGGAATCTGTTTTTGGGACACAATCTAAATCAGTGTTTCCCTACGTGTGGCCCACGAAGGCGAGCAATTTGATTGTTAAGGGGGGGCAATTCGAAAATAGATTCGACAAGAGTTTAATCAACATAAGAATTTTAGAAAGGCTAAGGTAAGGTAAGGGGGCGTGGCACAAAAAAGGTTAGAAAACACTGTTCTAAATTATTTAATTTGATGATAGACCTCAACTACATATATCTTACAGGGTTCCCATGCCAATTCAATTGTAAAATTCATTTTATATCACAAATTAGTAGTCAATTTATACTTCTCGCAGTTTAAAACCTAAAATTGAGAATTTCTTGCACTAAAATATTTAAGTTTTGTCTGTTGAATACTATTACCAGAGTCCCTTCCTCTAAAACACCTCTTAAATTTTAGCGATGCATTGCAACTCAATCCTTGCCAATCTTCATGGATGTTTGTGATTGGTTATCATCAGTTGCCACCTTTTATTATAATAATGGTCTTCTAAGAATCAAGTATGAAAAACCACCATTGACCTTCTAATTTTCAGGTTTCCAATTGGTGGTCACAAGTAAAGACAGCCGGCTCAGCTATATACGCGAACCGGCATTACCTCGAGCTGAACAAAACCAAGCTGGAAGCGCCCTGTCAGATTTATCCAGATGTATATCTCCATCCGTCTGCTGTGGTAGACAGCACAGCCGTGGTGAGTCCAGATCCTTCAAGTGCCACTCCTTCATGTACAAGCGAAATAATAAGCAATTATTAATCTATACCAAGTTAAGATATGTAACAAAATAAAAAATAACAAAATAATAAACTGTAATATTAAATATACAGCAATACCTCGAATTACGCTACCTCGACATACGCGAATTCGGATCGTTACACGATTCTTTAATTTTTGGTCTTTTGTATGAACGCCGCGCACTCAAGGTAGCCCTCAGTTCAATTAAAAAAAGGTTAACAATTTCGGAAAGCATAAACTCCAACGAACAGCGCATTTCTGGTACAAAAAAAGGAATAAAAAAATTACCAGCATGCTACGAGGAGATATTACGGGAGAAGAAAAGTAATTGACGTCAGACGACTTTGTTAGATTTGATGAAACCTTCTACATCAAAATAACTTCGGATTGTGTTCATACAGTTTATAAAACGAGGAATCGAACCCAAACTTCCGGACTCGCCCCAGAATAATTTGTCATATTATCTACACATTTATTTCCTAAATTATTGTTTTATTTAGTCTCCGGTCCCAATTAAACATACTTTATATGTCTTTACATGCAAAATTGTACCCCGACTTACGCGAATTCGACTTACACGGATAGTGCGGTCCCACGTATCGCTTATGTTCGGGTTATTACTGTACATTATTATCACAGTTTACATACTAAATGACAACTCTCTTATAAGAATATGTTTAATAAGTTTCGAAATAATAGATAAGTATTGTAAAGTGATAGTGATACAACTATTTCCAGATTTCGGCAAATATTGTTTGATAACAATAATCTCGCTTATCTTATTCAATAATAAATGTATCTTCCTTGCGCATTTATTTTCTTTTCATTACCGGCTTTTTTAATATCTTCCAGAACTCATGTTCAGGGTAAGGTGAGATAATAATGGAACAGCATGATGAGAAGACAATGAAACCGAACAATATTCTCCTAGAGGGTGTAGCGTTGGTTTAAATGCAGAGTCAACATACACATTTCGTTCACAGATCGGGCCGAATGTCTCTATCGGTGCGGGCGTCACAGTGAAAGCGGGCGTCAGAATCAAAGAGTCCATCATATTGAATAATGCTACTATTAATGAGCATGCTTTAGTCATGTACTCAGTTGGTATGTGTTATTCACTTTTGGTTAATTTTGTTTGTGGTTGGTTTAAAAAAACCGGCAAGCGCGTGTCGGACTCACGCACGGAGGATTCCGTACCATTATCTATAAAACGGGGGGGGATCATGTCTGTTGTATGGGAGCCCAACTTAAATATTTTTTATTTTGTTTTTTAGTATTTGTTGTTTGACCTCTCCATTCGTGCAGTGAAGACATGGGGCATGGGGCATATGCATAGGGCTTCCACAAATCTTTAATGCTATCTTGTTTTATCACTTTGTATTGAGTGTATACATGGAAGATAAATCTAGTGCTTGCTGAAAAAATGATTTGAACTGTTAATTCCAGTTGGCCAGGAGGCGTGTGTTGGTGAATGGTCCAGGGTGGAAGGCACTCCATCTGACCCTGATCCAAACAAGCCGTTCGCCAAAATGGATAACCAGCCACTTTTCAACACTGACGGAAGGTTAAATCCGTCTATCACCATATTGGGTAAGTTAAATGTAAAATTTAGAAACATCAGTCATATAACGTTTTACTTATTTTAACTTTACATTAAATTAATTAATTATTTAACTGTTGCAAAAGTTTTTTTATATACAATTTTTGTAAAATATTACAAAAATAGCTCCAATGAAATGGTTATTGAACAAAAACGTACTTTTATTGGGTAAAAAAGTTTTTGTACCTTGGGGATAACTTGATTTTACAAATTAAAAAATGTTTTTATTTATGTTTTTGATGTAAGTTATTTTTTATTATTTATTTTTTGTACCCTACTATTATCAATTTTTTTAAAAATATTTGTTAATAAATTCCCACAGCGGCGACAATCTTTTCATACGTTTTCTACAAATTTTAATGTTAAAAATTCATTCAGAAAATTGTCCCATTAATTATGTCCATGCTCATATTAATGCAAAGAACCCCCAAAATTGGAGAAGTAGCCATAACCGTCAACGTCTAGGGATATACAAGGCTTAATTTGTATTTAATGAAGTTCAGTTCAGAAGAACGGTTCTCATTAACATCTCTTCTCAGGTGCTGGTGTTATTGTCCCAGCGGAGACAATATTACTGAATTCCATAGTTCTTCCCCACAAGCATCTTACCAGAAGTTTCAAGCACGAAATAATCTTATAGTAGTACATCTTGACATCTAATTTCGAGCTTAACTGGAGACATTCTGGCGAAAGCCATGAGACGATCACAAGAGAATCTGTTTTATGATGATTTTATAACTTAAATCATAAATTATGAATTGTGAAATATAGTTAGAATTAGCTCTATGTATCTATCAGTAAGTTTAAATGAAATAAATCTAGAGTAGGGTCACTCCCAAAACATTAAATATGTTGGTATATAGTATAATCTACAAAACATAATATACAGACATAAGAATGTTCAAAACCGTTGTTTCAACTGATGTCATATGTATCATAATCTTAATATAGAATATGTGTAATATATTAAAGTCAAGATTTTGGATTACTTTTTTGCGTATATGGGGCGCTCTGCGTTACAAATACAAAAATTACAACAAATAGTCCGTTATCAAACATTTAAAAAACGTCTATCATCAGCACAGAGTAAATATTGTCACCAAAGATTATTCAAATGTTGGACAAATAAGTGTATGGAAATGTATTCAAATTAGTGAATTACTATTAAGTTTCGACCAATGGATGCCTAACTAGTAAGTAAAATTACTTCCATCTATACTGCTTAACTCTTTTCAGCTTTGAAATGATAAGCAATAATTTGCCCTTAGAAAGGTAACATGCTTATCTTATAACGAAGAATACTTGGTAAGAAAAGTTATTTCCTAATAAATTTAATTTGATAGTAACAATAAAATAATTATTCATTAATGTTGAAAACTGAAAAGAGTTACTCTTAGTTTTTTAATGATGAGTTCTTAAATATAAAGTGGTGAAGAATACAATATGTTTATTTTGCATTGAGAAGAAATATTTTTGTCACTTTTGAAAATGTTTAAGGCACAAAGACGACATGATGTGAAGAACTTAATAAAATAACCGTTTAGTTGGTAAAGTAAGCTTTTAAGTAAGTTAATGGTTATTGTTTAAAAAATTTAACTTCTGCTCCGACTATTATTTCTTATAAAGATATTTTTTTTTACAAACAGCAATTTCCATTTGATACTGCCAGTTCTTTGGTTCTTTATTCCTATTTTCAGATATTAAACGACATTGTGTTATTAAACGACATTGTGTATCTAAAAGAAATTGTTCAGTTTATTATTATAAAATTGTAGTTTTAACGTACTCGAAGGATATAGATACTAGATTATTGTAGTTTTATTCAACCCGAAAGATTCGACTAACGGATTCTTTTTTTTTTCTTAACTGTTAATTAATTTTCCAATATTATTTAATCTGTGCGCATTGATCGGTTTAAAGATCGTTGTAAACATATATATATAATATGGTTGTAACATAATAATAAGAGTGGTTGTATATATATATATATATATATATATATAAGAGGGTTATATATATATATATACAACCACTCTTTAATAACCGATCAATGCGCACATATATATATAATATAGCGTACTTCGTAAGGTTCAAACGTTTTAATGTTACAATTATTATATAAGATATATAAATGGAGCTTATGTGTATATATAAAAGATAGCTTCAATAAGTTGGCGTTACAGACTTAATATTGTGTAATGGAAAGCACTATGTACAATGATATGCTATACTACAGATATGTCGTTAGCATTTTCGTGGCAAACCAAGAAAGAGACAGCAAATAAGTTTAATATGGGGACAAGAAAGACGGATGCACCTCAAGATTTTTTTACACTTATTACAAACACTTGCCGTCCTCTTTTTTTTGTTATTGCTTTAATTATGCCATCCTTTTTATACCATTAGAACGAAACGTGTCAAAGTGTGCTGTCACTATGTTTGGAAATAGGAACACTTTCGACCGGTGATTTTGTATACGTATAACATATAAAGTATCAATATATCATTGACTATGTATATTCTCCCAATCCGTTTGATTTATCAATGAGTACCCTTCTTTCCATTTCTAATATTCCTGCTATGTGAACATAAGCCTACTTCAAAGACCAAATATTTCTTTAATATAGTTTTAATTTTTTTTTTTTCATTGTCCTAATTACGCCCAAATATTTAAGACTGTAATACCATAGTAACGGACAATCATAATTGCTTTTGGGAAATAGAAAAAATAAGACTCATTTTTCTCTTAATTTCCAGCATGATACCAAAACCAAACGCACAATTTAACTTTACGCCAATTTTTGTATCTTAAGTTATTATATTAAAATTGCGGCTAATAGTTTCAAATCTATAGTTATGTAAAGATAAACTATACGTGATTAAATATTTATATTCTTTATGTATTTTTTTTCATACAATCCTTTTTAAACAGCACAAATACAACCTGAGGTGTGTTCAACCCTGTAGTTTGACCTAAAAAGAATCGTAATATATTTCGGAAAATCATTGGAAAAACTAGTTAATTGAGGTAGCAATGAAGGGAGAGATTTGAAGTTTTTTTGGTCCAATTACATCTTGGAATAAAACATGTTATGAATAAATAAATTGTTTTATTGTCCTTTAGACAAAGTCTTAAAGCTAGTAATACCGATATTTAAACTACAGTAATTCGTCATCAATATCACAATAAATCGTCGGAAAGGACGTTAAGTTCCTTAACGAATAACGTTTGATTAAAAATCATCCTTATTTCGAGCGTGTTAAGATCTGGTATTGTCAAAATATCTTTTCTAGAAAAGTTACCGTCAACAGTGTGCCTTACAATACTAGTCTCAATTAAAAAAAAATAAAGACCACTTTGCCGCGTTTATTTTTAAATATAAGTTACATTAACTACTCAGAGATTCTAATTAATATTTTTAATGTAGATTAAGTACTCAGTAGAATCTCATAGTGTGGGGTTTAGACATAAAATTTTTATTCGATAACAGTGTAGAGCTAAAAGTTTGTTTTTAAATAAACTTTTTGTTTAAGGCACTGGATTTCTCTTAGTATGTTTCATAACATTTAATTATCAACTATACACAGTATAATTTCGCTTCGTCTTAATTTAATTGGAATTGATAACACGTCGCATTAACCTTTTTTTTTTTTTCTTCATATTTTATAATAATTATTCTTACGTCGAGTATTATTTAACAGTTTTTTTATTATTTTCATTTATTCAAATTTTTATGTTTACTTGTTCAATGCGACTATATCACAGTACAAATATTTTTTTTTTTATTCTTATTTTAAACTTATAACACATCGATTTTCATTGATATCTATTAAACTATACATATTAATTAAATTATCTTCACCCTAAGTAATTATTTCTAAACTTGACCATTCATATTTCCGATGCATTCATTTATCTACGCTTTCAAGAGTCGAGAATAAATTACGATTCGCTATGAGCATATTTAATTTATTAAGCAACATCGTCTTGAACACTTAAACTACAGTCTGCTGGTCTGCTTCCCGACCTCAGCGTCTTTCCTCTTCTCCTTCTTCCTGCTGTCTTCTAGGACTGCGTAGATCTGCTCTATGCTCCTGTCCTTCGTCTCCGGCACGTAGAGGACCGTGTAGAAGGTGCCGAGGAAGCACACCATAGAGAACATGATGAAGACCCAATGGATGCCGAGCAGTTTCAGGAGGGGGTCGTAGGCCTTCGTTTGGAGGAAATCGCTGAGGGCGTCCACGCTGCTCACGAACGAGGTCACCATTCCGCGGTGCTGCAAACGCGAAGGGGACTTGCTAAATGCTTTTCTTTGTGTTTATTCTTATTTTTGCTACATTTATTTTAGTACAGAGGGCACGCGCACCGTGGGCTCAGTACCGTTATCTATAGAAACGGCGAAAAGATCGTGTCTGTTGTATAGGAGCCCACACTTAAACTTTTTTTATTCTGTTTTTTTTATATTTTTAATTTCGTTTTTTTTTACTATTTTTTGTTATAGCGCCAACAGAAATACATCATCTGTAAAAATTTCAACTGTCTCATTATCACGGTTCATGATATAGAACCTTGTGACAGACAGAGGGACAGCGTAGACTTAGTAATAGACTCCCGTTTAACCGTTTCGGTACGGAACCCTAAAAAGTGAATTAGAGTAACAGCCTATACATGTACCACTGTGGCAAAGTACCTCTCTGCACACAGGGTAGACGTGTAGCCAGGTAGCCACTGTACAGAGGGCAGAGCGGACTCTGTGATTCCACCACACACGGTGAAGCCAACACTTGGCCAGCCTAACTGTGGTAGGGCCACGCAACAGTCTTCGCTGTTGCACCAATCGGCAGGTCCGTCCGGGTGAGTACCACGACCTCACAGAAGACCGGCGAGAAATGGAAGTGTTATACTGCCGCGGTTCCTCTGATTAGTGAGATATCCGGGGCCCACTTTATTAAAGGTGGCAACGCATTTGCAACCCTAAGGGTGTTGCAAGCGTCCATGGACCACGGTTATCACTTAACACCAGGTGAACCGCCAGCTCGTTTACCACTTTCTCACATAAAAAAAAGAATCGCCACACCGCTGGCATTCATCTCACCTGGAACGAGAACAGCTCGGAGGTGATGACGTACGGTACCGGCTGGTAGCCGGCAGCATCGGCGAAGATGCAGAGGCACATCGCCAGCACCGGCAGCCAGCCGGGCAGCCACACGGCCAACGAGGTCACGTAGAACCAGGCGCCGAGCGCCAGCATCGACAGCCCTGTCGCTAGGGACGTCCCAGCCAAGAGCCACTGCAATGCAATTGATTATTTCGTTGAAAAACGTTCAGTCCTGTCGCTAGGGACGTCCCCGCCAAGAGCCACTGCAATGCGTTTGATTATTTCCTTGAAAAACGTTCAGTCCTGTCGCTAGGGACGTCCCCGCCAAGAGCCACTGCAATGCAATTGATTATTTCGTTGAAAAACGTTCAGTCCTGTCGCTAGGGACGTCCCCGCCAAGAGCCACTGCAATGCATTTGATTATTTCCTTGAAAAACGTTCAGTCCTGTCGCTAGGGATATCCCCGCTAAGAGCCACTGAAATGCAATTATTTATTCCGTTGAAAAACGTTGCGTTCTTTAACGACCATCTTGGTTAGAGATATCACCGCAGATGTACTGGGAATAATAGATCATCAACAAACTTTATAGTTGATAAAGAGCCGCTAATCGGTAATGATGTCCTCGAGCAATTATTGATAGCTAGAGTCTTCGATCAGATACACGGTAATTATTTACTTCATTGAAAAAATAGTACTAGCCTAATCGAAATCTGCAGCCCTAAGGTTAGGAAGGAAACAAATGTATAAACAATTTATCCGTGGACCTCCAAAATTTAAGTCAAATATTATGAGCTAACATATCAAAATTTGTAGAAAAAGTGGACGAAAAGTTTTTCGCCGCTGCGAGGATCAAACCCACGTCTTCCAGAGGCTTTAACCACAGAAATAGCTGATTGCGCCACTGACGCCAAACTCAACGTATTTCATCTACATTTTAAGCAATGCTTGCCGCATCTTCTTATGCCTTACAGCACGCAAACAATTACATCGGTACACATTCTAAACTAAAGAAAAGCAAGAGACTCGTTCTTATTCTTACCTTCCTGCCGGTCTTCTCGACGATGCAGCTGGCGACTATGGAACCCAACAGCTGTATCACCCCCACGACTATGGTCTGCTTGTTGGGGCTGAGCTTCAGGCTTATGGATTCCGAAGCCTGTTCGAAGATGGAACCCGCATACATAAGTACCACCAGGTAGCCGCACGTCTCTTGCGAGAGCATCACGTTCAGCGATATGCGGAACGCCTTGAAGGTCGTCTTGTCTTGAACTGAATAGAGAGTAAAGTAAAGTAACAGCCTATACATGTCCCACTGCTGGGCAAAGGCCTCCTCAATACAGAGGGTATCAGGGCATAGTCCACCACGCGGCCCCACTGCGGATTGGTGGACTTCACATATCTTCGAAATATTTTTATTTTTGTTATTATTTCGAAAATATGCAGGTTTCCTCACGATGTTTTCCTTCACCGCGGAGCACGTGATAAGTCAGCACATAAAGTTAAAAACTTCATTGGTGCCCGCACCGGGGATCGAACTCAGGTTGCTCGAGTATATAGAATTAAAGGCGAGCGCCGGGACACTGAGCTATCACGGCTCTTATGAATTGAGAGTGTTTCTTAGTAATAGATTCTCGAATTTGAGAGCAAAGTAGACTCTAGTCGACTATGTTTAATATATAATATTAGTCATAGTATCGCTTTTTTTATGTGAAAAGTTGCCAAGCGAGCAGACGGTCCACCTGATGTTAAGTGAATACCGCCGCTCATAGACATCTGCTACACCCGAGGGTTATAGACAGGTTGACAACCTTTTGACAATTGGGCTTCGGCCACCTCACTCACCAGACGCAACGCGAAAGTATTATACTTCCACTTTACGCCGGTCTTCTGTGAGGTCGTGGTACTTACCCGGACGAGCCTGCCAATTCGTGCAACAGCCGAGGCTGCTGCGTGGCCCTGCCACCGTAGGCTTGTTACGAACAGCTGTGTTCGTACAAGAAACTCTGCGATGAATACTTCTCGTATTCATTAATTCCTAATACACTATTAATTCTTAAATGTGACTTTAATGGATACATATATTGCCGATATTTATTTATACATTTATCTAAACTAACATTTAAGTGTCATCATAATTTATATACATACACAACGGGTGTCTTAAAATTAATATTCTAATTTATTTCATTGAATAATTTAGTACAAGAATATACATATTCCTTCAAAGAATTTGTACGTACCAACGGTTACGAAATGCATCGATATGTTAATAAAACAGAGACTTGATTTTCTTTTTTTATTTTCGAAAACATTCGGTTAATGCCTGAGCTATTATTTTTCTGTTATATTATTTTATGAGATAGAACACGTAACATTTATATAGCTATGTTAAAGGAGTTGGTAAAATAGTATAAAAAATCATTTTTAGGGTCCTGTACCCTAAGGATAAAACGGCCTGTATTCAATGAACTGTGATAGACAGTTGAAATTTTTACAAATGAAGTATTTCTGTTGCCACTCAACAGATACTAAAAAAAACTGAATAAAAAATATTGAAGTGGGGCTCCCATATTTTTATTATTTAGACAACAGACTCAAAATATGCAAACCACCAAACTTATACAACATAATACAGCATACACAACAACAGACATATTTTTTTGTCGTTTTTATAGTTAATGGTAAAGAACCCGTTGTGCGCAAGTCCGACTCGCACTTGGTCGGTTTTGTATTCTATTGCCTCACTGTCGTTTTTATTTTTTTACAATAAACAAAGCCTTAAAATATCTCGCCCACTTCAATTCTATTTTATTTAGAGGAGTTATCTGATGTATCTCCGTTAAAGATCCGATACGAATGAAATTAATATAATTCCAAGGTCTTATACTAAACCGAACCCAGTGCAAAAATAACGTTTAAAAGTCGCTTCATAAGAAACGGAGTTCTGAGTTTCTTTGGTAACAAACATAAAGAGTAACAAAGCTCATTTAAGCTCAGACGTGTTATACCTAACGGGCCAAATGTAAAACAGTGATTTGTAGATGTAAAAAATATGCACCGTCGTGTCGTTGACCCCGGAGATTCTGACTTGTGACTTTAATGTGTAAATCGATTATAAGTATTTACTCGATGCACCTTTTAACCAACTAAATAAATATGAGTCGACTTCATGTAGAAAATGATAAACAGGTTTCAGTGAAAGGTAAAAGACTTGGAACGTCGACATTTGAGGATTGGAAATTTCCCTTCGCCCGTTGCTCGTTTTATAACGATGCTTAGTATCGTAGGTGTATAATTATTATCATTCAAAGACATCGTGATTTGTAGTTGTACGTAGCCTTTGGATGTGTATTATTTGACGCGCATCACTAGGATTTAACAATATAACAATTAGCATCACCATCAGCTGAAACGTTCACATTTGAACAAAGGCCTCCCCTTAGAACGCCACACGAACGGTAATTTGCCATTTGCATCCACCGATAATGATATTGTTAGTGACAATTACATTTCTTTAACATTTTTTTTAAATATCTCTTACTTTAGGGTAACATTATCCTGTGTTGTAAGGACGTTTTAGAAATTTCACGCGGACAAACACCCAGATGCGAAACAACTATCTGTGGGTCACACAAATAGTTGTCCAGTGTGGTAATCGAACCCACTACCCTCGACGCAGAAACCAATACATTGTCAACTGCGCCACGGAGTCATCAACTAATTAGTAAACTATCTAACGTTATTGCTGCATCGCTTACACAAATAAGGAAGGAGGAATGAATACTTTATGGATAAACTTAAATTTAAATCGGTATGAACATGATGAAATAATAAGTGCAAACGAAACTATTCTGCGGGCTTTATCCGGTTGGTTTTGATTTTATGCCAAAGTTTTGGAGTCACAATACGTATATTTTTAGATACAAACGTTTTCTGTAACACTGTCGTAGTCGTTTTTAGTTTTGGTCTCCAACTACTCGCCTAAAATTAGAGTCTCTGAAAATTTTTTTACAGTGTCTTACGCCCGGTTTCTGAAACACTGATCATCGTTATTGTTAACTAATCAGCTGTCAAATGGCTTTTCAAATGTTATCTAAGTTGCCAAAAGGATGGTTTAATGATCAGAATGATCAATTCAGAGAAACCGGACGTCTTAGACAATTAGTCTTTGTATTCTTGACTACGTTTCTAAAATTAGACTCGCTAATATATTTTCTTTATCATCGTAATCTTTGTTAATTTTGATTTACTTACCTACATTTATTTTCATTTATTATCTTTTTATTCATATAATTAGATTAGTTTATATTTCTATAATTAGATTTGCTCAAATGTTTTATGTAACAGTTTCGTGGTGATTATTAGTTTAGGTGTTCTTGACTACTTTCCTTAAATTAGATTCGCCTATATTTTCTTTGACGTCGTAATTGTCATCATTAGTTAATTTTTCATTGGCTACTTTCCTAAAATTAGATTCTCTGAAACGCGGTCTTTAAAAATTTGTTAGTTTCTCTGAAACGCTTTCTTTAAAAGTTTTGGCTTTCTCGACTACTTTCGTATCAGATCGGCTGATTGGCTGTGGTCTGTAACTATATTACTGTACACTCACCAATGCTTTTCCAGCTGGCCTTCGTCATGGACTTAGCGACCTCTTCCTCCCTTTCCAGTTGCTGTACCGCTTCCTCGAGCTTTTTGTCCTCAACGCTCGTGTTCCTCAACCAGGCCAACGCTGCCCGCGCCTCCTGCGATTGTTGCTTGTTAACATCCAAGTCACGAGAGTCGCTGATTAATGCCCGGTTCCTATATTCAACGAACGGCCGTTAGTCACATAACTTCTTAACTTTCCTAACGACTCGTTGTAACGACTCCATAATGAACTAACGGCCGTTCGTTGAATATAGGAACCGGGCATAAGGACTGGCAATCGGCTTCAAATCTGGATGTTATGTGATTCCACTTCACGCACACCGACAAGCATATGCTACAGAAGACGTTCCACATTAGAACTATGCTGTGTTAATATATGTCAATGTATCTTCCGACATTTAAGAATTTGACATATATGTAATATACGAGATAATTGATATTGTTTTAATGTGTTAATGGAAATAATTGAATATGTTTTAATGGAATTAATCTAACATCAAACTGATATTTGCATGCTGAAGTCGGCTGAATATGTTGCACCAAATTATTATAATTAAGATCACAATGTACTACCATATTCTGGCAATAAAGACATTCAATCATTCATTCATTCCAACAGAACTGGTAACACCTAATTGTTATTAGGCTTGCTCTGAATAAAGTTTATATATAAAACTAAATATTATATTACACATATTTACTGTAGCAAAACCTTTTCACAGCTTCTGCTGTTAAATGAATGGGCTGTCACTCGGTACGCTTTTAAGGGTTGGCAAAACAACGCCACTCTTTTTTTAAGTGAGATAACCAGTGCGACCTAGAAAGATCTATTGTAGCCTCCCCTTCGGAAACAATGTCCCCATACCGTAGTATAACATTATCCTGTGTTGTAAGGACGTTTTACATACATTATTCACGTGGACGAACGCCCAGGTAGGAAACAATCTGTGGGTCACACAAACAGTTGTCTCGTCTGAGAATCGAGTCCACGATCCCCCACACCGAAGCCAATACCTTGGCAACGCCACGGAGTCTTCAATGGATGAATGTCCACGCGTGATGGTCAAAACTTATTAAATAATAAATAAATAAATAAATATTTCGGGACATTATTTTACAGAACGTTATCTTGACCCAAACTAGGCAAAGCTTGCACTATGGGAACTAGGAAATTGATAAACATATTTAAACGTAATTTTCTTTTGTAAATCTTTACTTAATATTATAAACGCGAAAGTTTGTATATATGGATGGATGTTTGTTACTCTTTCACGCAAAAACTACGAAATAGATTTTAATGAAACTTTACAATAATATAGCTAATATATCATAATAAAACGTAGGCTATAATTTATCTACGTCCAAAATATACGTGATGATATGTGTCAACTTAGTAGGAAAACATTCAGCCATCTGCCAGATATTCTGGTATACAATAAAAATCACATTGTTAATTCCCTTTGGACACGCAGGCGAAGCCGCGGTTAACAGTTAGTAAATACATATTATAGACACATAAACATCCAAACACCAGAAAAACGCTATGTCCATCACACAACATTCTCTCAGTAGTGGGGATCGAACCCACACCCGAGACGCAGGAGACAGGGTCACTATCAACTACGCCAATTGGGGCGTATATATCGACCGCTTCCTTCACCGTCCCGTCGAGGTATCCACCGACCTTGAACTTCCCCTGCTTGACGAGGAACACTGGCGTCTCTGGCATCGCCAGGAACGCGAAGATGTGCAGCACTGGAACCGCGGTGCAGAGCCACATCACCGCCCCAAAGGACATCACGTCGCCCGCCACGTACACCACCAAGTAGCCCAGGTTCTGGGACAGTATGAACAGCGAGCCCAGCGCGCCCCTCACGTTGTCAGACGCTATCTAAGAGTATATATTTTGTGTTTTGGTGTTCGTAAGGAAGTTGTCGAATTGACTATATCCGGTTCTTTTTACGCAGTAAAAGATTTTAGGACAGCGTTTGTAAGAAATACTCTTTAAAGTGTTTGCGTTAATCTATCTTCTATCTATATATGTAGGAGATTTCCACCGATAATTGACTCATCACAATATCTCCGGAACCATAAGGCGTAGAGACTTGAAATTTGGTAGGAGATAATGCGTTTAGCATTAAGTCCGCCATTGTACTATTTGTGCATAAAGGATAAATAAATAAATAAATAAATAAAAAATATTCCTTTCGCCGAGTAGGGGTCAGCCAAGAACGGATTTTACGAAATGTTACCTGTTGGGTCCGCTAGTATAATGTAAAACAATATTTTTTTTATAATATAAAACATTAAATGTTAAGTAACTCAAATGCCATGGATTAATTCAGAAAGTATTCGTGATATAATGTCGCGGTATTTAAAAGAAATGAAATAATTCTTTACTTAATATTTTATTTAACCTATAGTCTTAGTTATAGGGGAAGCAGCGGATTATTCCCGTTACAAGTTTCTATGACAAGATACTGGGAAAACTCGGCAACAAATTGTGTCAAAGAATATAGAAATAAATGAATTTTTATTGAAGTGAAACTTCTAACGCGACTTCCAACAAGGCTGCGTTAAACGATTAACGCTACCATGGAGGGGGTATGAAAGCACTGTTGCGTTAAACGTTCAACGCTCCTGGGGAGGGGGAATAGAAAGAGACAGAGCGAGAGTGATTGCGTGGCACCCGAAGTTTCACTTCTTCCGCGCGGAGGGACTCCACGCACTATTATTTATTTAAGAGAGCTCACCTCCTTCAGGTACAGCGGGGTGACAACATAGCAACCGGCACACGCCAGTCCGGCCACGGCTCGCGACGTGATCAACGCCCAGGGCCGAAGGGAGAACAGCGTGATGACCCAACTGATCTGTCGGGAAATTAAATTATTAGTTTTTCTATAAAAAACAAACTAAATCACTATGTAACACGTGTCAATTGCACAGTGATTTAGCGGGAAAAAACTATACTTTTTTTATTCGCAAACTATGTCATATTTTATTTTTATTACTATTATATCGTTTATAGCCACCGTGATAGCTCAGTGTCCGAGAGCTCGCCTTTAATTACATTTACTCGAGCAATCCGAGTTCGATGCCCGGTGCCAGCATCAATAAAATTGCTAATTTTAAGTGCTGATTAATCACGTGCTCGGCGGTGAAGGAAAACATCGTGAGGAAACCTGCATATTTTCGAAATAATAATAAAAAAAAATCGAAAATATGTGCAGTCCGCCAATCCGCAGTGGGGTGTGCAGTGTATTGGCTGTAACTTTACTTTTTTTTATATTGTTTATATTTTTTATTAGTTTTTCTATAACAAAAACTAACTAGGTAAATCATTATGCTCTTTGTGTGACACGCATATTTATTTCGGATATGGGTGTTTGTTCACATGAAATTTAGTTTTGTAAAACGTCCTGACAATACAGGATAGAGTTATCCCATAGTAAGAGCAATGTTTATAAAAGAGAAAAAACAAGTGCGAGTCGGTCTCGCGAAGGAGGGTTCAATAACACTATTTATAATAAAAAGTTTTTTAACAAAAAAAGAACCGACTTCAAATAAAATGATGTACGTAACTATTACAACGTTACATGCAAAACAATGCGAAATATTTATGCGAAAGCAGCAATTGCAGTTGATTTCCTGTCATATTTCGAAGAGTTCCGTTGCTATTTCCGAAAATAGTCATCAGATCTATATGAAATTTATATGGGACCATTTCAAAATGAAACCCTTTCGAACATAAAAAAACATACATAAAAAAAATATAAACATCCGAATTGATAACCTCCTTGATTTTGAAGTCGGTTATAAACGGCAATAAAATTGTCTGTTGTATGGGAGCCCCACTTATTAATGCACAATTTAAAAAAAAAAAATATTCTGTTTTTAGTATTTGTTGGCAACAGAAATACGTCATCTGTGAAAATTTCACTATTATATTATCTAACTATCATGGTTCATGAGATACAGCCAGGTGACAGACGGACAGACGGAAGGACGGACGGAGCGGAGTCTTAGTAATAGGGTCCAGTTTCACCCTTTGGGTACGGAAAAATGTTTTGGCGGCAAGTGACGGCAGAATGGCAGCAAAACTGCAGTGACGAGTGGAAAGTATTTCTGTTAACGACAATAACGATTAATGAATGGCTTGACCTAAATTTACAGTCTGTGATATCGAAATGTTTATAACTTGGTGGAATGCGCTCGGAATGAGGCGGAACGAATTTCATGTACGATAGTGAAAACGATAAACCAGCAAGAACACTTTCTATTAACCGGCTTTCAAAGTTTGTGATTAATTTAAAGCTAACGTCGTCGAAACTTCAAAGAGCTCAGAGCAGGTTGATAATGCAATGTCGCGATATAAAATAGGTCAAGAGATAATGGATGCTATTTTCCGGATTTTATTGCTTTTAATTTATGAAGCTCTGTATATAGTTGAATCAGTAAACCAAAACAAGTGCATATTTAAAACAACTAGGTACATTTTTATTAACATAAAATAAAAGCGGCTTCAGTGTATCTTTTTTTATTTTGAGAAGGAGGAGGAATGAAGTGAATGTGGTTCCACATGAGAGCTAAACCGAAACTATGCAAAAATAATTTTTAAAATCGGTTCGGTGACGGATTTCTGAGGTGACAAACAAAAAAAATTCAACGAAATTGGTAAACCCCTCCTTTTTTTCAAGTCGGTTTAAAACAGTCCAATGTATCAAACATTATGTTATAAAATGCAACTGTGTGTAATAAATACGTACTCCTAGAGATTGTAAAGCAATATAGATACTTTAATAAACTGCTCTACAGCAGAATCTGATTCATAATATTTATCCGCAGCAGCAATCCACACTAGCGTTGGGTGGTTAAAACCGCAATGATTAGTGTCAAATGTACTATACCCAAACGGTAAGCTAATTTGGGCTTTATCGAAAAGAATTAAGGGTTAGATTACGTCACGCTCACCGCCTGTGATATTTTCAATTGATAGAACTTTAAAGCATTCATTGTTTGCTGAAACTATTAAGAACCGCGTGTGATATTCTTAAAAGGTCAAGAGAATATTTCATTTACTAATCGGTGTCGAAGTTAATTGTCATGGAAACATGTGCTAAGTTTAGTTTTAAAATAGATTCGAAGTAGGAAATAACTCCTGTATAGCGGAAGGTTATACAAACAGGAATATGACAGGATATGAGCTTACTGGTGTGGTAGACCGTACCACAACACTCAATTGATCAGAATTATCTTCTTAATGATCAAAATGATCAATTCAAAGAGTTTGACCATCCTTTTGGCAACTAAAATGACATTTGAAAAGCCATTTGACAGCTGATTAGTTAATTTCTACGATACAACCGGGCGCAAGAGTAGCGCTTAAATAAATGATAATTTAAAATTAAATACATACGCAAATAATTTTCCATATTTATTTGAGCCATCTATTTTCCAATAAAGATTTACCTTTTATTTAAACGTGATGTATGCTGTTAAAGAAAAAATGCCTGTTTTATTATATCCATAGATAATTTCTCGACCTCGGTATACGAGGCCTGTTCGCGGTATACATTCCGATTCCGCGGCACGATTTAATTAAACCGCATAAGCGTAAGTGCAATTGAGATTTTGCAATCGCATTCGTAAAATGATCGATGTACTTACTTATTTTTCCATTGCGAGGCGTAAAAATATTTTAATTGGTATTAGATAAAATATTACAATCAAAAACATAAACCAAAGTGTTACCGTTAAATAGGTACTATGGTAGCTCATTGTCCGGGCGCTCGCTTTTAATTTAATATACTTGAGCAACCTGAGTTCGATCCCCGGTGATGGCAAAAATGAAATTGTTTAAGAGCTGACTGTTCCCGTTCTCAGCCGTGAAGGAAACATCGTGGGGAAACTAGCATATCTTCGAAATAATAAAAAAATAATGTGCAAATTGCTAAGCTCTAGTACCCTCTGTACAGAGTAGGCCATTGGCCAGCAGTGGGACATGTACTTGTTACTTAACTTTTTTTTCGATATTAATGGATTTAAATAAATGAATTGTTGTCATGTGAGATCATATTAGTAACTAACACAATCATATTGGCCTGATTTTGAGCTGCCTATGGTTTAATGGCGTTGATTCACAACTGAGGCCATGGGTTCGAATCTCAGCGAATTTTAAGTTTAAAAAAAAAAACAACCGATCTCTCAATATTCATGCCCGTTGTACGGTCATGGATTACTTTGTGTGGGTGAAATAATACAATGCGTTTTCCACGTAACTCTATCTGCTTAGTAACCAAGTTGTGGAATCAGCTGTCGCCAGCGATATTGCCGAATCGATACGACTTAGGGGCCTTCGAAAAGAAAGCCTATTTGTTCCTCAAAGGTCGGCAAAGCATTGTGACTCCTCCGGTGAGTGTCCATGGTTGGCCGTGAACACTTACCATCAAGTGGCCTGCCCCTTTACCTCTTTTTTGCCCCTTTACTTCTTTTCTTTTGACATAAAGAATAATATTCTCGGTAAAGAATGAATGAATGAATGAATATGCTTCATTGCACACCAGAAATAAAATAAACAAACATCAAAAACTGAATGTACACGTGATGGGTACAATGGGCGGCCTTATTACTAAAAGTAATTTCTTCCTTTAAAGCATAAGTAGGTCAAGCCTCTGCGTACTTACTATGTAAATGTTAAAGCCGTGAGAACACTGTGGAACACCATTAACTAATAATCTAGATCTTTTGAGCGGGAAACTTGACAATGGACATGTTGCAGAACAAGGTAGGTGTCAACAATATGGCATGTTTATACACAGCGCTTAATTTGGTTTAAAAAAAAGATTCGCAATATAACCCCTGTGTAATGTGTACGCAGGTACACAAACATGCAAACCACGCCCTGTTTAAACACAGATTCAGAACATCTGTTTATGGAATGTAGTGGCGGATGTAATCCAAAAACTCAAACCAACACAACGCACAATAGCTGTCGACAAGCTACAAAATCATTGCACTCCGTACATTCAATAAGCCCGCTGTCAGTAAGAGGTGTATGCGAGCGACTGGTAGAAAAGCGACATATGTTCTAGTATTATAATATGTATCTATTAGTGCATTATTTATAAAATTATGCATAAAAAACAAAACCGGCTTCAAATATCTCGTTCTGTATTCATTTTATAATTGATTTTCAGGAGCTCCCTAAGTGTCTTCGGAACCCAAAATCCAATACCAATGAAATTAATATGCCACATTGGAATCACCAGCTTTCAAATAAAAAAAAATCACTTCACTCAGTCGAGTCTTGAGAGAACAAACATAAAAAAATACAATCGAATTGAGAACCTTTTTTGTAGTCAGTTTAAAAATGGCTTCTGTTATTTTTACTGGAAATATTTGGCGTCAATCAGTCCATTTCCGAGCTTAAGTAATTCGCTGTACTCACCACGAGCATCAGTGACGTCAGCAAAGTGGTAGTCTTCCGGCCCCACCGGTCTGCCAAATCGCCCACCAGACAGCCGCAGAAGATCGGTGGGAAGAAGGTGATAGACGCCATCCAGGATATTGTCTCATCGCTGATCGGCTCAGGCGCCGGGCCCCCTGGGTCCTGGAGCAGCGGGGTCATCGGCGACTGCCAGCCCATCAGCATCCCGAAGTTCAGCACCGGTATCGTGACTGGAAGTGACGTCCTCGTAAGGAAAGGTGGCAATCGGACAAAAAGTTCTGATGCTCAGTGACCGCAGTGGGTGCGATAGTCAATGATGTTTAAATAACTGTGTAATGGCCACGCAGCAGCCTCTACTGTTGCACGAATGGGCAGGCTCGTCCGGGTAAGTACCACGACCTCACAGAAGACCGTCGTGAAATGGAAGTATAATACTTTCGCGTTTCGTCTGGTGAATGAGGTAGCCGGAGCCCAATTTTCAAAAGGTTGTCAACGCATCTGCAGCCCTCGGGTGTAGCAGATATCCATGGGTGGTGGTATTCACTTAACATCAGGTGAACCGCCTGCTCGCTTGGCAACGTTTCACATAAAAAAAATAAAGATGTCGTACGTCCACATTGCGCGGCGTTTAAAAATCGTTCCGCTTTACGATATATGAAATACATAAATGAATGTGACTGATTATATAGAACGTATGATACGGAAAGAGATAGCATAGCAGTCTTAAGAGTTGCAATCTAAATACACTAATTGGCGTAATTTGACTGCCTCAGTTTCGGTGTCATAATATGTACCTCGTATTTGTTTAAAATATCATTGGCTACAGTGACTCCCCCAGTATGATGGTTTTGGTTAATAGCAAAATAATTATTATTTTGACCGCCCTGTAATTCTCAATGGTTTTTTTCGGCGTCGTGGGTCGTGGGTTCTATTCCCACACGGGACAATTATTTATGTGACCCACAGAGTTGTTTCGCATCTGGGTGTTTGTCCGCGTGTAATTTATGTTTGTAAAACGTGCTTACAACACAGGATTATGTTATCCTAAAGTAAGGGAAATGTTTAAATAAAAAAAAATGGTGCATTTATGCCTACAACAGGATGCTGAGCCATCCGAAATACAAACTAGCTGGTATGAATCCAAAATACTCGGGCCTAATGAAAATGATGCCTGATGAAAATTTAGTAAAAATGAGACACATTTTCTTTTTTATAAAACCACCAAAGATAATAAATAGAAAACCCATCACCAACAAAACATTCTGCTGGTATCAGAAGACGGATACTGTTACGAAAATAAATTCCTAGCCGTGAGAGAGAGTGAATTCTTAATCGTCTACATACATATATATATATATATATATATATACATTCATTATAGACAGGTCTGGTTTTGTATTGATAGATCAATGCATGGCAATGACACATATCTGAAAGCAATAATTATTTATTTATTGTAATTATTGAAGCAATTCCAATAAAGGAATTTTTTTAAAGGAATTCTATATGATACAACTCTAATGTTAGGCTTAGACAAAGGCAGTTGTTTTCCATCCAAACAGGGCACTATAAGTTGCCACAAAAATATTTACGTGTACCTAGTTGTAATAAAATTCTTGTTCTGATTGTGAGTTGCATTACCACCACTTGTTAATTTAAGAATCCCGAAGCCAGTGGCTGAATTTTTCACTTTTTTTGTAACGTCGTTTATCTTATATTAAATGAAGTTACGCTTTCGGTCTAAAAATTCAAAGCTTCATCTAATACCGCACCCTATTAACCTAGTTTTTACGAGTTGGATGGACCCTAAGGTAATAGAGACACGCATGTGTGTGTCATGTGTTTGTTATTTGTCGGCTACGGTTTATTGTAGGGAATGCGGGTCGACCCACGATGACTGTCGACTGTATTATTGCTGACTGGTATCGGTGAGAATCAGCCCAGAAGTCTACACTTACACCAATCTAGAGTACGCGGTGGGTCCAATTCGCAGGAACGCATTCGATTACGTTGATGAATCGTTAGCACGATTTGTGTGTGGTGTTTTCAGAATAGACCACCATCGGTACCCCCACCCTCCCAGGTGCTTTCGCCTCTTCCTCGACCGGGTCTGTAACCGTCGCGTTTGAATCGGGTATTTCTGAGGACTTTGATGATTCGAGACCCTTTCGAAGAACCGTTTTGTCAATCTTTAATATCATCACTAAAGGCCCATTTACACGATGCCATTTTCTTGTACATACAAGAGCAATAATTGAATGCAATAAATTGCGCGAAATAATTTGTTAGACCATTTGTTGTTTAGACCATGCAACTCATTTATTGCTTCAATTTAATTGTATACAACAGGCAAGAAACTTGCACCGTGTAAATGGGTCTTAAGTGTCGAGAGTCTGCAGTCGCTATGTAGGTCGACGTTGCTCTGATACTAGCGCGCGCCATTTTGTATGCGGATAAATTTATTTGGAACGATCTGAGATTTCAGGTCTACTTTGGAAACGTGTGCAAGCATGTGATATTACATGTGAGCAGGCCTTGTATAATAAAAGCTTGTACCTTACATATTTTGATCGAGAAGTTGACTAGAACTGTCTGAGATTGAGAGAAGATAATACATTCTTCACTTGCTCTGGCCATAGGCAACATTTAGACGATTCGACTATTACGAACTTGCATGAAAACGTACATATCAGCGTAGCGATTGTAGTTAGATATTTCCAAACTATTCGAAAACAACTAAAACCAACCACTGCAGTGTTTCAACGTTGTGTTCAGTCGCTAAAGCTTTAGGGAAACGTATCTCGTAACGTCATTAATCAACTCCGAAACATTAAAAATCCACTCATTATTCTTTTCTTCGGTAGATGGCGCGCGCTTCTTAATGACAGTATTCCTTATATTTCCATATCTTTAACAAAGGTATAACTAGCTCCTTGGAGATAAATAAACGTTATAATATCAATTAAGAGCCAATCAACCTCGCAACGGCCCGCTGTAACGGTAATTACCGTTCATTACCGCCCGAGATATCAACGCACAGACGCAATAAACATAACGGGAAGCAACTCTATATTATTGATACTTCGCTATCTCCTCGCACTGATAACAGATGATTCTTAAAACTACAAAGTTTATTAGCCCACATATCTCAAATTACAACCGCCGTTAGTTCTAATTGCGTGTTAACATTAATGTATTTAGTAAAACTCCTTATCGATTTAAGTTCATGAAGACATAATTAGGTCAAAACCTGTTTTTTTTTGTAATTATATTTATTTTGGCCCGTTTGCGAATAATAATGAGAATAATATTTTTACGATGCGCGAGCATTTTGGATGTCAGTGTTCGCTTGGCAACTTCCGGTATTACCATTGGTTGCCTCAATTGTATTTAACGTCCTTTTCACAAACAAACAGTATTGGCGTAGGGGATAAAACTTTTAGCTATTTTTCTTTTATTATCCTAAAAAGTATAACTTCTATATATTTCTTTTCATTTTTATTTTGTTTAAGTTGCTTCAAACTCCCGTGGATGATATGGTTTCTAGCGTTGCCATAATTACGAGGCCAAAGTAGTATCAAAAGTTCTCTGCCGTTGTAGTTTTTTAAATTATATGAATCATCTGTTTGTTCATAGGAAGTCAAGAAGAGTAAAACTGATCTAACGTATAGAGAAATGAAAGATTATTGCACATGGCATCATATTTTTTATTGTAACCGACTAATGCCTGATTTGATATATCTGACTTGGATCGTAAGTTGTATCCGTGAGTGAAATAAATACTTATCTCGCACTGGCAACCCTGTACACACACACGGAACACACATAACTAATTCGTTAATGCGAAACCAACGTAACGCGTACACAAGGTACACCTGGTACAGTCAACGAACATCGGTGTGACAATCCGTACCGAACCTCGATAGCCCGTAGGTGACATTCCTCCCGTTCGAGATAACGCTTGGCCTTATCTATAATTCGGAGGTTCGTATCAAGCTCGTGGATAGCCCACGAGTTCCGTTTTCAATGAAGCTTTAATAGTCTACGGAGTGAGTGCAGAAACATAAGTAAATAAAAACTTGTTTCGTGTGGGACTGAACCCACTACCCCAGTGGGCCTATCGCCGAGGTAGTGACCGATATCAATAGTTTACAAATGCGCCGTTGTAGATGGTAAAAGTTATTATGATTCTCGTCTCGCCCTTAAGACTTAATTGATTAATCTAGTCTTTAGGTCATCAATCTAGTTTTTATTTATAAGCTGGTTCACCATGTACGAAAATGTCACCACACACTACTAGGTGCGAAAACGGTTTAGAGCTGGCCAGTTATTTATAAAAAGGACACTATGCTGGTAAACTGCTTCACCATTTCTGCATGCATTATGAACTTCAATTCATCATATATCAATGAATAGTAGTTGACTACTAAACCATCTGATAGTAAGCAAAGATGCAGCCTTTGGTGGTAACGCCGCTAGAGAGGCCTCTCGTATTATAAATGATGACCTAATCATTGGTTGAGCGGAATCTCTTCAATCGCGCATAGTGAAGGTAACGACATTAATCTTCTGTAAGGACGGGGGGTTTAACTTTTCCTCATAATCACTCGTTTAATTAAATGGTGAATTACTTCGGCTCATATACGGCTTCCATATACTACTAAGACGCGTCCCAACACAAATTGCCTAGTATCTGTGACATGGTGGTAACCCTAATATATAGATATGCAAGTAAAAGTCTTAACTGAAACGCGATGTAATAAATAGCATATACGACAGGGCGGTCTAGGATTAAAGAAGCCATAAACGGAGAGATGATCTTTGAGAAGATGCGTTAGTCATTGTATAATAGAGTAAAAAAGCAACTAAGGTACTTCTTACCTTTCTTAGTTGTCTGTAGGTTACATAGTCATATTTTTCATAAACTATATACTTGGCTTCTTTTAAAGGAGAAAGTCAGACACACGGTTGAAATGTAATAAGTAAATATAACCGACCACAAACATCGGGAAAATCGCACGTGTGCTGCGTTTTGAAATAAGTAATTAACAGCGCCATAGCCATTGCCTGTGGGGCAGTGCTGAACAGTGGACTAGAACAGGCTGAAATGATTATGATAACAGTCAAGAAGCAGCATCTTTTCTTCACGATTGAAGGGGCTTGTTCCAGTAAGTAGTCAGATCAACAAATAATTATGTAAAGCTTTATTTGTATGTATGTATAATTACTTAAGAACGACAAATCCGCGTGCCAATTTGCCATCTTAGATTAAATGAGTGATCTCAGTTCTCAAAAGTAATGTATCTTTCATTGCACTAAATATGATCGTCCTCTACTCATTTTTAAGTCATATTTCAGGTTGAACAAAATAAGTTTCTAAGCTCGCCCAAGCGTAGACAATATGCCTGCCTATATGTTAAAAAGATGTAGCATACTCGTATTTATTACATGTCGACAAAGTGTATCATTGAATTTAGAGAGGTGTTTTCTACATCTCCATCAGGAAACACAGCCAACAACGAGTTTGTGCAGGTATCTGTATACTCCCTTGTGATTTTCCCTTTCCGAGAGTGCAATTAATGGGGGAAACCCGTTTAGAGAAACGTCATCTGCGCCAGTGAATCACGAACCCGTTTTTCATTTCGTAAGGGTCATGACACCGCGGAGATAAGTACTCTTAATGATATAGTCTTCATTAATTCGACGAAATGTGGAATTACCAAGTCAAACATCGAGTCCAGTGTCCTATTAACGACAACATTGTAAAACAATGTCATAAGTCATCTTATTGGTTATTTTTGAACGGTAAACAGGAGTAGAAGAAAGTATGTAAGTAACAGCCTATAAATGTCCTACTGCTGGGCGAAGGCCTCGTCTGTACAGAGGGTATCAACAAAAAGGAAGGCCAAAAATAAAACTATTATTCCCAGGAAATAAGCTAGGTGTCTAAAAACGTGTTAAAGTTTTATGTTGCTGTGGTCGATTTGCCGTCCAAAGCATCAATTCAAGGGAGTTGTGCAAATAACTCTTTGCGGTTTGTTTAATTTCCGACGAGACGCCCTACGCTCGCCAAATTTAAACGGGTCTCCCTCGACCAAAATAAAGTTACAAGTTTATCGCTTATCTCGTTTAAAACTAATTGGACTAATCCAAAGTACAGCAGAAATAATTATTTATATATCTAAGACGCTTTTGACCTTTTGACCTTGTATATGTTGATTAACCAGTATGGGGGACAAGTGCGATTACTTATGTATCTTGCTGAACTTCATCTCTATCATTGTTATTCATATCAATGTTAGTTTTGTGTGGTGTACCCGCAACTTGCGTAAAACCATGCACTTTCTTAATAGGAACTAACTTATCCGATTGAATTTTATTCGGTTACGGTGGTAGGGCCACGCAGCAGCCTCGGCTGTTGCACGAATGGGCAGGCTCGTCCAGGTAAGTACCACGACCTCACGAAGACCGGCGTAAAGTGGAAGTATAATACTTTCGCGTTTCGTCTGGCGAGTCAGGTAGCCGGAGCCCAATTTTTTAACGGTTGCCAGCGCATCTGCAAATTCCCAGAAGTTTTTAAAACTGTCAAGGTAAAATAATGATAACCCATAAACATAAACACATGCTAGTGTTAGTCTGTAACGTTTCATATTCAAAGACATTTAAAAAACTATAACTAACACTTATTAAGGAAATACATTAAAGTTCAATTAGTTGAATCGATTAAAATTATTTTAATGGCGTAAAATGTTTTTTTTTTAAATTAAATCCTGCTGCAATTGATACATTTTTCTACAAAACACAATCCGGAGAATGATCGACTTAGGAAAATTTATTTTTTTATAAATGACATATTTTACGTATGTCACGATCTAAATTGAAAAAATAAATAATAAATATACTATATAATAAATTGGAAATAAATCTGCAATTAACATTTAGGTTTATTTTTATTACCTTTATATGTTGTTCTGTGTGGAAAAGATATTTGTGACTGTACCTACCGCTATATACACAAATATCTTGTTTACACACTGGTGTAGTTGTGTGACAATTAGTGTAGACAACTGTAGAGTTGTCTACACAAACAATTTATCGCAAAGGAAACATTAAACAAATCGCAAAACGCGAGCGACATCCTGTCGCTTGCATCGGCAATAAGGTTTACCAACACAAGGAAATGAAAACTAAACTATCGCGGAAATTAAATGACGATGTCTACGGACATAGATACTTTTTTTGTTGAAAGCGAGCAACATTGCGATAGCGGAAACACGGCGGCTATGCTTATATTATTCCCCTATACTTATATTACTATTTAAAACATAACGTAGTTAACATGCTAATTTCCATTAATATCTATACGTCCTTGTGAGATGCACTGAATTTTAATTGCAACAGTAGAATTAAAGTTATTTTCCAAATATCGCCAAACTAACTGGAGCATCGTCATCTGGAGGCCTTTTATGCCTCATCAATTATACGCATAATTATATGATAATGAATGTTTCAGAGAACGAGCGACGAGTATTTAAAATATTCTTTTTTGTGGTAGGGCTACTCAAAGGCTTAGCTGTTGCACAAATGGGCAGAGCCGCCCAGGGAATTAACACGGCCTCTGAAGACCGGCGTGAAGTGGATCAAGTGGAGGTATCATACTTTCGCGTTTCGTCTGGTGAGTGATGTAACCGGAAGCCGATTTTTGAAACAAGCCGTTTGTCAAAGCGGTTAAAATAAATAACACATCAAGAACATTATTTACTTAAGTATTATTTAAGCCGATTTTTGAAACAAGCCGTTTGTCAAAGCGGTTAAAATGAATAACACATCAAGAACATCATTTACTTAGGTATTATTTTCAAAGTGTTAGTGTTAAGCCAAATAGTGTTTAAGTGTTAAGCCAAATAAGTCAAATAAGATTGATCAGTTCAGACTCACGTTTTAGAAACCCTGCACCATTTGAAACTTCCAAAGTACCGTTGATTATTTGCAAGAAAACCGTTCGATAAACATCGAGAAGGTTCGAGAAGACGCAGATACGTTCGTCTCGGTGTTGAAATAACAAAAAAAGCCACATCGACTGATGGTGCAAGGGCCCCTTATTAACGGTCTATATTTAGAATAACCGCACTGACAACATTCTGGGAAACCATAAGATTACACTCACAAGATTACGTGCAAATGAATCACCATTCTTTGCAATTCAAATTCTCAACAAATTATCCCTAAAACCACTTCGTCCAAAACTAACTGATGATAGCAAATTTTTACTTAAGTTATTTTCTACATAATTTATAGGCTCCAATTATTTATGACCCTGAATAGAATGGCACGAATGTTTTAAATCCACGAGTCATATTTCCACATCTGTTCTCTCTTCATACCGCAGCTGCTAAGGGATTTTGAGGCAACTTTTAATGGCTAGAATGGAAAAGCCTAATAAGACAAACTGATTTTTCTACCCGATTTTATAAATTCTTTTAGCAAAGTAATTCCCATATTTTTTTTAGTTTTTTAAAGCATTTTTGAACATCAGTACGAAATTCTATACAGCGAGTCATTACCGGAGCAACAGTCGTTAGTTAGTTCACGATATAAAAACTGCTTTTTCATTCGTGTTCCTTCGTTCTAGACAAACTAGTATTTATCGGACAATTGGATGACGATGAATGGAAAATAAAACAGCGAAACATATCCGTGGTTGATCTAGCAAGACCAGTTCATTTGTACTTTGGTTTCCTCATTTTTTTGTCGTATAAATAAACGGAATATATGGTCTAACAGTATGATACAGCACATTTTTTCCAGTTTGTACGATTAGTAATTGCGTTTGTTATTATTTTATTATAGGTATTATAGATATTTTTTATTATTATATTTATTATATAACAAAGGCATGGCTCATCACTACAATACGTTTTAATATAAGTATTACACGGATTTTATAGCGATAAAATTTTATTTACGCTCGCGGTTACGTTCGAAAGGGAACTTAAAGTATTTAAAGTTGCAACGATTATAAAAAAAGCAACTGTTGAGTTTCATGCCGGTCTCTTCTCAACAGAAACTGCTTTACGAACCGGTGGTAACTTACTTACGGACTTGTCTCAATTTACTTTATTAAAAGCTGGCAACGCATCTGAAAACCTACGGTTGTTCTGAATGTCCATGGGCGCCGGATATCACTTAACATCAGGTGAACCGCCAGATCGCTTGCCACCTTCTCACATAAAAAAGTTGGTTGAACCAACTGCACTACGTCACTTTTTGAGGGTTGGTGTGCGCGCGCATAGTAAAAGTTTTACCCCCGTAATGTTTTCCAAACGCGCCAAAAGAAGTATTGCTTCATAAAACACGAGGCGGAGATCAGATAGCTCGAGAGCCGTACTCACCCATGAGCGCCATGAAGAATTGGTTCACGAGGCCGCCATTTTTTATTCTGGCCAGCCAGCGGAACGGGTGAAGAGCGAGCATACCGCTGGTCTCCGTCTCGGACTGTATCACGACCACGGCGAACACTGGCTGGATCAGCGGCACATCGCAACTGTAGCCAGTTAGATCTGGACGAGAATAAAAGGAAAACATTGATATCCTTACTAACCCTTACTTAATATTATAAAGGCGAAAGTTTGTATGTATGGATGGATGTTTGTTACTCTTTCACGCAAATACTACTGAATGAAACTACAATAATATAGCTTATACACCAGAATACGACATAGGCTATAATTTATGTACATATTTTTATGTATATCTGTCTTTCTGTCTGAATGTTACGCCTTCAGCATATTCTACGCAGACGTAGTTGCGGGCAGCAGCTAGTTTGTATAATAAAGGAAAGAAAGTATGCCGCCGCTGCGGGATTCGACATCACATCTTCCGATGCATATTAAATGCAGAAATTAGCACTATATCAATGTAAATTTTACAAAAGCGAATAATTTACTAATACAATTTAGGTGTGGTAGGGCTATGTGACTTCTGCCGTTGCACGAATGTTGGCATGTGGTGGGATAGCGATCGAGCAGAAATCATCATCCTCCCGCCCTTATCCTAGGTGGGGTCGGCACAACGTGTGAATCATAGTTGTAAGCGGTTTTGTGCATATTTTTTTACGACCGGCCGCTTGCTTAACATCAACTTTCCTTGGGAAACAAACACCCAGATCCGTCACAATTGTCTGTAAATCACACAAATACTTGTCCCGTGCGGGAATCGAACCCACGACCCCAACGGCTAAGCAAGCCAAAGGCTAAGCAACTCGCCACCAAGTCATCGAACAATAACCACTTGCTTATCTGTCACACTAACCAAAAAAGCAATAAATATTTTAAAAAAAGGTAACGCTTATGTCATCCTGGTGACGACAAAGTAACGAGTTAAATTATTCAAATGCTGTTCTGCCTGTCCAAGATTAATGAGACAGCTACTTTTTAGAATTGGACAATTCTATTTGTAACGATTGATAAATAAGTTGATGTTCTATAAAGGTTCTACCATTTATATAAACAATACAAGACATGCTGCGAATTTAATTGGATGAATGAAGAATGTAATTTGGATGATAGATAGCGCTGTGCCTTTGCTTGCGTCACGATTTAATTTAATAATAGATCTTTATTGGTCTAAAATCAAAAATAATGTATGTACAAGTAATTTATAATACAATTATTTTGGTCAGATTTTAGACAAAAGGGTCTGGGGTTCAGATTTGCTACACACACTTGTAGGCGAGTCAAGCCTACGATGCTAAGGCTATGAACTGATCAGTCATAATGGTGCGGCATAAACAATATGTTCCAGCGAGTACTAACCTATCGTTCTAATTTAGGCTGTTGTTATTATTGTATGGAACCTACTTCTTAGTAAGTAGGAGTGTGGTAGAGGAGAAGGAGAGTGGAGCAAATTGGCCTAATCGAAACAGTTGAAACTAATGTACTACAGTCTTATTTGTTTGTAAAACAATTCTGTACAAAGTATTAAAATTAAAAATGCTTTGTGCTATAATTAACATTATTAAAACATATGATAAAGTTGAGACAAAACTACGCGTTATAAAAAACCTCACATGCGCGGAACACGTGATCACATATCGTTTAAACTTAGAATGTTGTGACTTCGTATCAGGGGTCGATAGTTCAATTCTCGTGACAGTCAAAATCATTAAATGCGTAATAACAATTTCCAGACTGAAATAATAATAATAATAATTGTAGCCTACGATATTCCCCGGACGATCGGGATATAACGCAATGCAATAAATATACGCGTAGCAACTGTAACTACTCGTATCATTGTCATCAATATTTCAGCCTGTTAAAGTCCACTGCTGAATATAGGCCTGCCCCAAAGACAGGACGTTCCTGAGCCACCTCCATCCATCGATTATCCATTTTATCTGTCTTCCATACCACTTAAAAGTTCAGAACTTAACTTTGAACCAGACAAGTGCGATTAAGAGCGCACGAAGGGTTTGGTACCATTATCTATAAAAACGGCAAAAATTCAAGTCTGTCAATGTCATTGTCAACGGGCTCCCATACTACAAACTTGATTTTTTGCCCTTTACTTAAATAGTTTTTTTATTTTGTTTTTAATATTTGTTGTTATAGCGGCAACAAAAATACATCATCTGTGGAAAATTCAACTGTCTCAATATCACGTTTCATGAGGTACAGCCTGGTGACAGACGGATAGACAGACAGACAGACAGGGGAGTCTTAGTAATAGGGTCCCGTTTTACCTTTTGTGTACAGAACCCTAAAAACGAACATTAGTGTCTATACAAGAATATCGTATATAAATGTTTCGTGCGTCATAAGATCCGTCTTATTGGCAAATTCTGCTTAACACATCCGATGCTGAAAGGTTGATCAACTGTTGTTAATATGCTTGTATTGTAACTGCTAAATCCTGTTAGATATCCATTGTAAACAGATATCAAACTAAACACATTCTTGTTGCGTATATATTTAGAGCTTTTTTTTGGGTCTGCTTAAACTGGCTGACAGCTCAATAGACGACATTGAAAAAATAATGAGTTGCTTTTAAACTGATACAATATATAAAGCACCGCGTTGGATTAAGTATAACTGTTTTTTTTTTTTTTTGCGTGATTATTTTTTTAATTTCGTCATATTTAATAAAAAGAAATAAGCAAATATTTTGATGGGTCTTATATAACTTAATTTATTCAAGAAAAAATGTCATTATGAAGTTTCGAATACTCTCCAGCTTCCAGCATTCAGAACAGTGAATTAGGGCCTCAAAGGCGTCAATCGTACAAGTCGAGAATTAAGTTAAGTTATAATATCAAACAACAAAAAATAATTGATAATGTGCATAAATTGTATGTGTGTCAATATAAGAAATGATTACTAGTTATTAGATACAATCCATGCCGCGTGGATTAGGTTTATTAGATAATATGTAATTTTAGATAGATTTAATCTTGTAAATATTAGATCAATAAAGATTGTCAAGATTATCCAGAGCAGTTGATCTGGAATTTCACGCACATCCAATTGTCTAGCACAATGTTGTAATTCTTCTTTGTTAAATGAAACTATTTGTGAACCGGGATTGACTGGAATTAACATACAATAAGCCGATTGAAAGAACTAAAGATAAGACAGTTCAACCCGTGACCACGATGTTGTAGTTCACGGATTTAAATAATAATAATATAAAAATATTTAGACACATATAATTCGTAACAGTAGATCTAATTCTGGAAAAGTATGAACAATTTATCGTCCAAACGCTACGCTAAAACGTTAAACTCTAATCATTTGTTTGGACTTGTTTAATAAAATGACATTTTCAAATGGCATACATCGTTGTGATAATTAAATTGTTTCGAAGTAGGTATCATTTGAAAATATTTTTGATATTTTTAGGACACATTTTTATACAGCGTTCTCTAGTCCCAAACTAAGCAACGCTTGTACTATGGGTACTAAATAGCTGATAAACATACTTAAACATACTTTTCTTTTGTAAATAAACACACACATACACATTATACATATACAAACAACCAGACACTATAAAAACACTGTGTTCATCACACAATACTTTTCCAGTAGTGGGGATCGAACTCACACCCTCTGACGAAGATGGCAAAACACTACTCACTACGACCCGAATCGTCAAAAAATAGAATGAAAGTTAAGATGGCAAAACACTACTCACTACGACCCGAATCGTCAAAAAATAGAATGAAAGTTTTATTGTTTTTATAATTTGTCTTTAATACCTTTTTTAATACTACATTTACGTTTACATAAATCTATATTCTCAATGTTAGTCACTAGGCAACTGTTTCCACCGAGTTCTGTCCACAACAATGATTCAGTACAATGAAGCAATGATTGTAGCGTGATAATCATGCGTTCATCAAGATGCACGTCAGTATAGCAATTCTGTAAGCCGTTTAAAGCCACATAGTAAACCACAGCAGTATTGCTTAATTACCGTAGTCAATAAATCCATAATTAACTACTTGGCTTTGTTACGATGTTTTTGCAATCAGTATTTTTTTTGCCATATTTTTCCATCAGTTGTTCGATTACTTCAAATATTTGTTGTGCCGTCTTAATAAGAAATAAAGTCTGTAAAGGATCATCAAAAATGCGTACCATACGAGTAAACAAGTACATACATGGTAATTTTTTTAAGGAGGCGTGGCAGGCCAAATCCGAAACTGAATAGTGTAAAATACTGGCATCGTTGGATTTTGAAATAAGAATATTCCTACCCACGAATCGAATCCCTTCATTTTGGAATTCTGGGAATTAATCACGAACAGAAAACTTGAAGAGAGACCTCATATTTGAGATCTTACGTCACCTAACTATTAAACCTTAAGTTATTCATTGTTCCAAAAAATAGCTATTGTTTTCGGTACATAGCTGGATGCTGCGTCTCAATGATCGTACTGCATTCAACATTAAGATGATTGTTAAAAATAAAATTGAATATCTCATCAATATCTAATCAATATCATTTCAAACAATTTACACTGGTAATATACGAACCAATGACCATAGTAATGAATGGCAAAAAATATCAATCAATCAAATATCTTTATTCAAATAGACGCTTGCACGTTCTTAAGAATCGTCAAATTTTGCATAAAAAATTATACACATAGGTTCGTAAGGTATCACCGTTTCGGAAAGCAGTTTAAATAATTCAATATCTTTAATTTGACGTATATGTCTTTACTTCTAATAATTTGATTTTCATTAGATAACACTCTCGCATGGCTTTATGAGTCAATTTTATTTTTTTTTTCTAAAGTCACTGGTTACGATTCCCGGCTATTGATTTTATATTGATTTTTCTGAAGTTTAGTGATTTTTGTTTTTCATCTAAAATGGAGCTTCGGTATTGTCCATCCGCACCCGCTCGAGATATTCCCCAGATATAACAGGGAACTATCGGTTTTCAGTTGTTTTGTCCATCTTTTGAAGAATTGGTGTCCATCCACGGTTGAACCAGGCCTTTCACATATTTTCGTTTTAACATAGGACCTATAAACCCGGATTTAATATTAATAATGAATGAATGTTATTATATTTTAAGTAGCATTGTAGTGTAAGTTATATTGTCTCTTAGTTTTTTCTAGTTTTTCTTTTATTATTTTATAATAATGTTTAAGCACCTATACTCTGTGTATGTAGTGTCTGTCTGTAATTGAAATTGCATGTTTTTCGTAACCGGAGTATATGTTCGTCTTGTATGCTATTTTTAAAAACATGTAATTTTGTAGATAACCCTTAAAAATAAATAAAAAACAGAATATAGGTGCATAACATCTAGGGAAAATCGTCATATGTCGTGTTAAATTTAAAGGTATCATGGTACCATTACTTTTCAGAATAAGCTACAAGATATCGAATGACAGAGCTTTCCGTTGATTCGGTATGTCATGACATGACAATCGATAACTGGTCTTGCGCAAATATCTGCGCCGGAACTAAAGGGGGACCCTAACTCGGGACCCATGACTCAGTTATCTCTATATGGGCACTGCACCATGGGACGTCATTCCAATCCAACGACACTGAATTAACAATTCTCACGACTGCTCACGCGAGAATATAATTACGACGATTATGTAAGTAACATAATCGACGGCACTCGTGATCAGTTTTTTTATTAGGCGCAGGTCGTATTTGTAATAAAACATACATCTAATGAAGTTGGTGTTGATTATAGACACTGCATTCTGCATTAGGTATAGGTATTCTGTTAGGTTGTTAATGGGTATAGCCCACCAACAACATAGAAGTTTCTTTCTCTCACTTTCAATTTCTCAATTTGCCGCAAAATCATTAAACTAGTATATGGGATAGGAATAAGAATTACAGTAAATGTTCCATCGCATAGCCTAGGGTAGCAAGAACTTGGATCGCTACTTCAGTTCATATCAATTCCACGGATTGTTGAGGGCGAGGATGGTTTCGTATGGATCTTCATCATCCGGAAGACGTCTACTGTGCAATCAAGCCCTCACTTAGAACGCCTCAAGTAACGACATTTTGCCATTTGCATACAGCCATTGCACGTGACTTTTTAACAATAGACAAATTCAAGTTAAGGAAAATTAGCTTGGTCAAGACGATCTTGAGGAAATATTAAAGTCACGAATAAAATCGACATTCGAGGTCAGAAATATATGTACAATCAATACAGCTAGCTCTATTTATAAACCATGTAGTTATTTAATACACTGTAATAATAGTCATTACATTTAATAACGAAAACTTCCATAAGCTCATTATTTCTAATGAACACTTGGTTACAGAATTTCTTTTTCTTTTTTTTTCTCATTCATAAATTACAAAAATAACTTTGGTCATCATGTGCCATATTTTTTGACATTGACCACCTTTTGTATCTAGCTTTTGCTTATTTACTTTTTATTTTCATTGTCAATTCATAAATAATTATTTCCAATTTACTATGTAGGATTTTAATCAAATATAAATTTTGTAACTTTAAGCGTACATAATTTAAATAAATTCAGAGATAATATCCGACCTCAGCGGGGATCAAAAAAGTCTCAGCTGTTTCCAAAGCAGGAACTTTAATGGTAATCGTAAGTGCACAATTATTCGAACTGTCAAACGACAAAGACACACTGAAAAATCAAGATATTCAAGGTAGCAAAAAAGTAACTACAGTGACAGATGACGGATTTGTTGTCAGCAATTCCCTAAAGAACACCAATTTGAATTTACTAAGACCACAAGTCATAGTGTGCCTCGATCCAATGTTGATCGCGTAACTGATTATTTTATATGAGAATTTAGCTAGTTAGCTGGCGATTCACCGTTATATATAATAGGTATCCGTAGGTTTGAAGATACATTGCCAGCTTTTAATAAAGTGGACCATGGCTACCTCACTCACCAGACTAAACGCAGAAATATAACAGTTCCACTTCATGCCGGTCTTTTGTGCTTAGGACGCTGGATGGACGCTTATTGGTCGCTGATAGATCACGATTTTCTGAAGATGGAAGGACTGACGTTAAGAACCGGAGACATAAATATGTAAAGGTGTTAAGAGGTACGCATAGTAGAAATCAGATCGGCTCGTCCAGGCAAGTAGCACGATCCTACAGAAGACCAGCGTAAAATGGAATTATTATACTCACATTTCCTCTGGTAAGTAAGGTGAGTGACGAGACTGGGACCCACTTTTTATAGGTGGTCCTCACATCAGCAACTTGCTAGATCTTAATCTAATAGAACATATTTAGGATAAAGCAACGTCTACCAGTACCTGCCAATTAGAGAGAACTTATAAATTACTATATTTTTAGTAATTTATTACGTATACGTATTGGCACTTTAACACATACCTACAGTTTTAAGAGCAGAGGTGGTAACACTAAATACTGTGTCACTTAAAAAAGTCGTTTTGTATTCAGTTCAGACTGATAGAATAACATATTTTCCTTTATAGCCACGTCATTGAGAATGCTATCACGAAATTATCGTTTTCGAAATAACAAAAAAAAATACAACAATTTTATTGTCTTTTTTTATAATTAAAATTAAAATACCAGCAGTAATTTTGCCCTATCTTCCAAAATTGCAAAGAACCTTTAAATAAAGTTATGGCTGACTACAATCTTACGAACAATTTAAATAGTTAGAATGTCCAAAATAATTATAATAAACAAAATAATTATAATGCTTAATTATTAAAAAACCAGACAGAAATGTATCGGCAAAATCAAAACGTTTATACCCCTGTTTGAAATAACTAAGACGCTTGTAATTTAGTCTCGAATCGCACGTCCACCTCAAAAAGATATCGCCAAAATCAGAGAACGTCAGTGCCCCTACTCTAAACCAGACATTTGCGCAAGAGCTCGAATGAAAATCAAACCAGTAACCATTAAACAGTCGCGAATGGTCACGTGTGGTGTACAGACCGTAAAGTAAAACATATTGAACGCTCACAGCTGGAACGAGTCTTGTGTTTGAACGAAACGTAACGGTATTTAATTGTTCTAAATAATACTAAAGGCCAAATAACGCAACACAACTAAGCCAAAGAAGCGTTTTTATATTTATTATCATTAGAAGCATATTATTTTTATTCGCATTATGTAAACGTCAGACATAGTGAAATTGTTTAAGGTTAAAAATTTATTATGAAATTGTGTGTACCTTTTTTAGGAAACATCTCTTAGTTTCGTAGATGTATTACTTTATGGTCCTCAGTTCGTTATGCTTAAATTGAAAATCAAGTAATACTAGCCAAAACAGTTTTATGTACGGAATTTTAACACAGATCTTTTAGCAACACGGACTTAAAATTTTCCCGTCAATTAAATTCGGAGCACGTTTGAAGAATGAACGATGAATGAATGAGTCATCAATCCAAAATGGCGGCACACAATGACGCCCGAGCGGGCGACCAAGGAAAGTGACGCTCACCTAAGTTTTTTTATTTGGACGAAATACGTCATCAACCTTGCTAGATCAAGTGTTTGAATGTAAATGAGGTATTGTTATCTTAAGTTTAGAGTAATAAATTTGTTCATGTCGTTTAATACATAAAGTAGCGATGAGGCAAATTGTTTATTTATAAGAAGACCTATAACAAACTGTTTTTTTAACTATACATCTTGTATTATTAAATTACAGTATCGCGTAAATACAAGAAATTATTAAGATATTTTATGTTAATAAATTGTACCTGAGAAAAAAACCACATCTATAAAAAATATTTGTTGACCATTTAAAAAAATATTAGTTACGTGCCGGTATTGAATGTGCAACACGCGTAGCCAAAGCCAATGATTTACCAACTGCACCAATATAGCCAGCAACGAATAAATCTACAGAAAAATTAAACAAACAATAAAACGTTTATGAATAGCATTAAGAATTTAAAATATTTTTATGGCGTTTAAATTGAAACTCCCAGTCAAGGTTACGGGACGAATGTTCTGAAGGTTTCGGAGTTTAAATATAAAGTACCTGGAGGTGTTTTTTTAGTAAATCGTGTATTTTGGAAATTACATTTAGATACAAATTACTGAGTAATAAAAATATGTATAATATTTTTCGATCTTACCGACGTAATAGATAATAAGAAAATATGAACTGGTATTTTTCACAAAAGAAAGAACATTAAAAAAAGGGAACAAAATAACAAAATAACAAATCGACAAAAAATAAAAAATAAAGAAACCAATGATCTGGTATCAAAAAAAAGTACAAAATAAATGTGTAAATGATCGCGATACGAACCGCGGCCGTCTGTTTTGGGGCCGCCCGATTACCGACCGAGCTATTATAATTTTTTTTTATGCGGCGAAATTTACCATCATATTCGAATGATATTTTTTATTCCATGAAAACAGGGATAATAGGACATTTTCTAAAAATGAAACTTAGCTGGATCGATTTTTCGCCCCCGAATCTACGCACATACCAAATTTCATGAAAATCGCTGGAGCCGTTTCCGAGATTCCGATTATATATATATACAAGAATTTCTCGTTTAAATGATAAAATTTTACGCAAAAGAGATTATTAAATTTAAACTAATAATTAAATTTAATTTAACCGCAACATAATCCATAATGTTCTATTAAGTTTCATTAAAATTTTAATTTTTTTTTTAACGTTAACGACAATATTGTATATTTTCAATCATAAATAAAATTTCTTCGTTCTTATTTTTACCGTAAAGATTTTTTCACAATAATTATAATAAATACATACATCGATCAAACGTCGTGAACTGATTTAAAGTTTAAATATTGAGCCTAAAGTCCGGTTGTCGAGCCAATGTCGACTCTAACCTATTAAGTCCGGCTTCATTCGTTAACCTACCTAGTTTCGAATAACTACGAACGCTCTGTTGCGATAATGTTTACATTCCAACTGCTGCCGCCATACAAGACAGCTGCTATCACCCCTCTCGTTCTCCCCACCTCTTAGTTCACCAATGCTGAGGCTAAACCAGGTGTTTCACGAAGTTACCACACACATTTTATCATTCAATACGCTTGATACTTTCACTCATACTTCGGACTTTATTCGTTCACTCGCTTTACCTTAACGATGAGGCTTTCGCCCTGAAACACTGATCAGTGTTTCAGAATCAAGTTCACTAATCAGCTGTTAAATGGCGTTTCAAATGTCATTTGAATTTCCAAAAAGATGGTTAAACTATTTGAATTGATCATTCTGAACATTAAGAAGATCATTCGAATCATATGGAAAGTCAATAACAATTCTAAACCTACAAGAGTTCTTATTCAATGTATCTATGGAATGCTATTAACCTGGCCTTAACGCGGAAACCACATACATCATAAAAAAAATCATAGTTCCAAGATACGTTTCTAGAAGATAGACCTTAAGCCAACCTACAGTTATCGCAGATAAAAAACACATTCCGTCCACAGAGCGCCAGTGTTTCGATCCAGTTTACTTTTAAACCATATCAAAGGTCCCGTACGGAATTTATGATCAAAACTATCAAACTGTCGCGCTGTAGTAAGCAATTTCTCTGATAATGTTCTACTCTATCGCTTTGCTGTTGATTAAATATTTAATGTTTGTACTAGTGTATAAATAAAAACTAATTTACAGATTTTATTGCACAGTTTGTCCAAGATCCTTTGCGAAGTGTTCGAACCCTCGGGTATATAAATTTGGATCAATCTTTATAAAATTTTTGAACTTATCATCACCACACCAACCATTTACTCAACTGCTGAACATAAGCCTACCACGATGCACGACCTTGAGCCACCTACATACATAGACTTCCCGCACATTTGTACATTTTCACTACATCTAATGGAGGGTTGTCGTACATTTACCATCAGGTGAGTCTCTTGCTCGTTTGCTGCTCTTTCCCATAAAAAAAAACACTGCTATGGCCAATACGAGGCTACCACGAGGAAAAAGGTAACCGACATAGCTCAGATGGTTGTGTAGAAAACAAGGCCATATTTGCATTGTTCTTTGATTGTATCATTAGTGATTTTTACAAAAAAAATTTATCATACAAATTATTTTTTCAATTTAATCTCGTCTGATTAACAGATTACACACTGGGACAGTACCATGAATATTGCGAACTATTGTGTGTTGTTATAATTATGTGAAACACTAAAATAACATATACATAACATAACAATAAGAATAACAAATGTAAATTATTAAATGAACAAAAAACCTAAATGTATTAAAATAGTAACTATTCCTCTTTTATTATTTCGCGGACGCTATATTATTAAAATTAATGTAATGTAACTCCCACAAATTAATCTAATTCATATTTTCAAAAGTTCATATTTTGAAATCCGTCAAAAGGTTTATGGTGTAGACGTAGAGGATGCCAAAGAATTAAGCATAAATACATAAAATTTACGCTCAAAAATTATCCTGTCAGTCACTTACAAAGATAATTGTAACAAAAGATAGCAATTAATAAAAAGGAACACTTAAACATATAATACAACAAATATACGGATCTCTTAGTTCCATTGTAACCAGACAAGAACCAACACCCATAATTATGGAATGTTGTCATTTTGTATGTATATTACCGATACGAAGGTTACATGAACGGACTTAATTATGCACTAGAGAACAATCTCTAAGCATGACAGTGATCTACTTTCTATTAAATGATTGACTCAGTGAATTGAGCTCCTTTTATCGGTTTTAGGTGTCGGCCTCATGCCTTAGGTGAGTCTGTACAATATAACATGAATCTAACAGCATGGTAGGGCCACTCAGCAGTTTTGCTGTTGCACGACTTGCCAGGCTCATTCCTTACCATAGCCTCACAGAGGACCGGCGTGAAGGGGAAGTGATACTTCTTCGTTCCATCTAGTGAGTGAGGTAACTAACAGCTTCCGCATAAATATCAGAATAAAGCGGTACTTATGACTTAGGTGAGGTTCCCGCGCCCGCTATCCTGACGACCCAACAGCAAATTCAAGAGTGTTAAGAATTACTTCCATTGCTGATTGTAATCGTTTAACATCAAGTGAACCACATTATCATCCGCGCTCTCTCATGAAAAACGCTCAAATGTTTACATTAATTAATATCAGTACGCTTTGTGTCTAAAGAACGGCATCCGAATGTTTTGACGCTCACACTATATCACTGTACACACGATGCGAATGTTTATTTGCTGTAATGTAAACGGACTCTTGACATTGAAAATGTGACGTGGCGCGTTTGACTTTAAGTCCGTTTTCGGCTGCATGATAACACTAAACCATCACGGAAACCTTCTCACTGGAAAGGCTTAGACTTTGGAAGTTTAAACAGTGTGGTATTAGGATTGGTAGTAGGAGTATTACTCACTCACTGTCATATTTTCTCTAGTTTTAGAATACAGACATCTGTTTATTCCCTTATCTTTCTACGAAAATAAACAAAACTGAAGTGTGTCTGTCATTTAGAATTTAGTTATTTTTTATATTAAAAATTATTTATGTGTTATCAAGAGCACAACAGGCAAACAAGCGTTTTTAGACTATCAGGCGTCATCTCAATACTCATCCTCTTCACAGTCATTGTCAACTATCGCCCGATAGTTAACAATGGTTCATCTTCCATATGTCTGCTTCGGCTTCCATATATCATTGAAAGACTACGTTTACTCCAACGACCTTATCCCTTCCGAGCTATTCGGTGTTTCACTGATTTGCTTTAGTCCCATTCACAGAAAGCCGACGTGAAGTGGATGTGATACTTTCGCGTTTCGTCTTGCGAGTGATGTAACCGGTACCTACATTTTTTAAAGGTTGGCAACGCGACGACATGGGCGGCGATATACACTTAACGTAAAGCTGCTCGCTTGAAGCCAACGATTTATATAAAAAAAATAAAAAACGTAGAAAGGCGATCAGTCATTTATTTTATAAACGAGTATCGTTTTATCCATCCTTACGTAAGTTAAGGTTAGGAGAAGCCTGATATAAAACACTGTAACCTTTGTATTCAGCGTCAACAGCATGTATAATAACAGAACCTTGAGCCAAATATTTGTTAACCACATAAAATCTACAATATGCGTGTCGAACAAACATTTGATTTGGCTTATAATCAGATACAAAGGTGTACTTGAGTATACATTACAACGATATCTACTAAAAAAACGTAAACATCAGCAATGACAAGTAAAAATGAATACGACAA